AGAGAAGTACCTGTTCTGCCTTCGGAGCCCTAGTGTGTCTTACTCTAGGACCAAGAATATTGTCCCAGTGAGCAAAGGTAGCTGCTAATAAACATGATTCACCACTTAAAACAATCTCTGTCTTGGCAACAGCTGGAGATGGTGGAGAACAGAGAGTTGACATCATTATGTCCCAACTGTCACATTATCCAAATGCTCCCGGGATATCCACTCACCACCACCTGCCCCTTTCTCCAATCTTAACAGGCAGCTGGAGTCACCCCCTCCTAGCAAGCAGCCCTCACCCGCAGGTAAATGACACTTCTGGGAACCTAAGGAACAGGTCAGAACACCACATGATCTGGAGAACTTTCACTGGACAGGGAACTTGGTGGGAGAAAGGGACAGACTGAAAAAGACCAGTGTCAGAGAACATTTTCACTTCTGCCCTGTTCCTGTCCTTGGCAAGATTTTTAAAAGTTGTTGCTGATAGATACAATTTCAATTGATTTGATTTGGAATCCTGTAATCTTAGTTCTCTTAATTCGAATAACTATCTGTAGGCATTTTGGGTTTTCATTATAGACATTCATTTTATCTGTGAAAAATAACAATTTTTTTTCTAGACCACATCTCATTTCTTCTTGCTCTAATGCTGCGATTTTCAACTGATGTGTTACAAGAAATTTTTTAAAAAGATTTTATTTATTTATTTTTAGAGAGAGGGGAAAGGAGGGAGAAAGATTCATGTGCGACAGAACATCGATCGGTCAATTGCCTCTTGCACACCCTCAACCGGGCACCTGGCCTGCTATCCAGGCATATGCCCTGACTGGGAATCGAACCAGCAGCCTTTTGGTTTGCAGGACGATGTTCAACCCTCCGAACCATACCAGTGAGGTCAAGCAAGAATTTTTAAAATATGCAATACTTGATTATTTAGTTAGGGTCACTGACTCTTTTTCCCATAGATTGTCACATGAAACAATGACAACAGCCAACACAACAATAGCCGTTTGGTGTGATGAATCAAAATTACACTTTTTTGGGGGTCAGATCAGCAAAAAATATTTTTTGGTGTGTGCCATAGAATTTAAGTAATTAGGTTATGTGTGCCATGAGATGAAAAAGGTTGAAAATCACTGCTCTAGTTGGGTAGAATGTCCAATTTAAAGTTATCTGCTTCATCTTTTTAAAAAATTTATTTGCTGAAAAGTTGTTCATGGTCTCCTTTAATCTGTTTAATATCGCAGCATATATATTGATATTACCTACTCTGCTCTCACACCCCACCTTCCTTCCCAGTTTTTGGTTATTTGTACTTGTTTCTGTCCCTTTACATTTTTTTTAACTAGCCTTACGAGTTCATTGATTTTATTAGTCTTTTGAAATAACTTTTATCCTTGTTGATCTCTATATTTGTTTCTTAGTTCTTTAATTTTTTTTCTTTATTATTTTTACTCATCACTTATTTGGAGTTTATTTTGGTAGTCCTCTTTCTAAATTTTTGAGATGTATGCTAACTTACCTCATTTTTTGGTCTTTTCTAATACATTTTCCTCCAAATATTGCTTTAGCCATTCCATGAGTTTTGATATGTAATTTTTTTAAATTATTCAGTTCTAGATATTTTCTGATTCCCTTTTTATTTAAGTCGTTTACCTGTGAGTTTATAATTTTTTAAATAGTTATTCTTTTTTTAAAAGGATTTTATTTATTTTCAGAGAGAGGGGAAGGGAGGAGGAAAGAGAGGGAGAGAAACATCAGTCAGCTGCTTCTCACATGCCTCCAACTGGGGGAGCTGGCCAGCAACCCAGGCATGTGCCCTGACCGGGAATTGAACCTGTGACCTTTTGGTTCGCAGGCCAGTGCTCATTCCACTGAGCCATACCAGCCAGGGCTAGAATTTCTTAATGTTCAAAAAATTTTTTTTTCTTTTTTAAATATATATTTTATTGATTATGCTATTACAGTTGTCCCACTTTTTTCTCCCCTTTATTGCCCTCCACCCTGCTCTGCACTACCCGCCTAACTCCCCCCTCCCTTAGTTCATGTCCATGGTTTGTACATATAAGTTCTTTGGCTTCTCCATTTCCTATATTATTCTCAACCTCCCCCTGCTGATTTTGTACCTACTATTTATGCTGCTTATTCCCTGTACCTTTTCCCCTGTTCTTCCCTCTTCCCCCTCTCCTCTGTTTTACTGTTCATAGTTTTTTATCTTCTTTCTCTTAGATAAGTGCTTTTCACATTTTATATAATAAGGGCTAGGTGATGATGAACTCCTTTAACTCTGCCTTATCTGGGAAGCATTTTATGTGCCCTTCCAGTCTAAATGATAGCTTTGTTGGATAGAGTAATCTTGGATGTAGGTCCTTGCTTTTCATGACTTTGAAAACTTCCTGCAGTCCCTTCTTGCCTGCAAGGTTTCTTTTGAGAAATCAGCTGACAGTCTTCTGGGAACTCCTTTGTAGGGAACTGTCTCCTTTTTTCTCTTGGTGCTTTTAGGATTCTCTCCTTATCTTTAATCTTGGGTAATGTAATTATGATGTACCTTGGTGTGTGCTTCCCTGGGTCCCACTTCTTTGGGACTCTCTGAGCTTCCTGGATCTCCTGGAAGTCTGTTTCCTTCCAGAGGAAGTTCTCCATTATTTTTTCAAATAAGATTTCAATTTCTTGCTCTTCCTCTCTCCTTCTGTCACGCCTGTGATTTCAGATGTTGGGACGTTTCAGGTTGTCCTAGAGGTTCCAAAGCCTCTCCTCATTTTTTTTGAATTCTTGTTTCTACCTTCTGTTCTGGTTGAATGCTTATCTGTTCCTTCTGCTCCCAGTCATTGATTTGAGTCCTGGTTTCCTTCCCTTTACTGTTGGTTCCCTATATATTTTTCTTTATTTCACTTTGTGTAGCCTTCATCTTTTCCTCCATTTTGTGACAATTCAGTGAGCACCCAGATTACCAGTGTTTTGAACTGTGCATCTGATAGGTTGGCTGTCTGCTCATCACTTAGTTCTATTTTTGGAGCTTTGATCTGTTCTTTTATTTGGGCCATATTTTTTTATCTTGGCCTGCCTTAGAAATCATTGGAAGAGGTGGAGCCTTAGCTATTTGCCAGGGTGGGGCAACCCAGGTCACTGAGTTGTGCCACTGTCTGTGTGGGAGGGGTCTGAGAAGGAACAATGCGGCTTGCTTGGTTCTCCACCGGCTTTCAGTCACTTCCCCCACTACCTAGGAGCAAATTGGGCCCTTCTGGTGCTGATGCTCAGATGGGTGGGTTTGTGTACATTCTAGGACCCCGTGGGTCTCTCCAACGGACTCTTCTGTGAGGCTGAGAATTTTGCCTGCTGCCGCAACCCCCACAAACCTCTGGTTTTTTACCTCCAGAGGTTTTGAGGCTTTCTTTTCCTGCATTAGAACTCTGTATTGGGTGTTCTGTCTCGCTCCCCAGCTATTCCTCACACTTTATCCACATGCAGATGTGGGACCGCCCAGCCTGCCAACTGCCGCATTGCCTGCCTGGTCCTCCAGCCACAACCTTACCTTGTGTCTTCTCTGCCCCGGGTGCCCATCTCTGCCCCTCCTACCGGTCTGGCTGAATGTTTCTTCTTTAGGTCCTTGGTTGTTGGACTTCCATACAGTTCGATTTTCTGGCAGTTCTGGTTACTTTTTGTTTTTAAATTTGTTGTTGTCCCTTTGGTTGTGTGAGGAGGCAAAGTGTATCTACCTACATCTCTATCTTGGCTGGAAGTCCTTTTTTCCCCTGTAGCTATATTTTTGTTATTGAGATGTGTAACTTGATTACACTGTGGTCAGAGATTATTGCCCTTTTGATACTGGCTCTGTATTAGTTATCTACTGCTGCATAACAAATTATCTCAAAATGTAATGGCTTAAAACAGTTATTATCTCATAGTATCTGGGGGTCAGAGATCTGGGTTCCACTTCGCTGGGGCTCCTGGGTTTCCATCTCTCATAGGCTGTGATCAAGGTGTCAGCTGGTAGGATAGTTGTCTCCAGGCTCACCTGGGGGTGGCTCCACTCCCAACTGTGTGAGCTCCTAATATTCTGTATTAATTTTCTAGGTCATCAGTACACTTAAAAAGAGTTACAAATATCTTCCCATGATTTTTAGTTATTGTCAGTGGAAAGTATTTATTCAGCCAAAATCTTACAAATGGAAGATGTATTTTTTAGGTCACTAAAGACCAGAACTATAAACCTTCATGATACAAAGAAATAATTTCCTGAGGGCAGAAAATACATTTTAGACAAGGAACCTGTATAAATTGAAGTCCCGTAAGGAAATCCAAAGCCACATTACATATTTAACAGAGGGAATTGCTTATATAGGTGTGGGAGAACTGGGAAGCAAATGAGAGGACTGAGATAAACTTGTGATAGGAAGAGCGGGAAGCAGTTACCTTGCCTCAGGCTCAGGAAACAAAGGGAGAAGATTGAGGTTGTCAAAATCTAGAAGCTTGGAGGAAAGGTCCTGTGGAGCTGGTGCTCAGATATCTCAGAGGGATCTCTGTTCCAGTGCTGCTGCCACTCCCTGAAAGCCTCTGAGGCTGTACGGGAGCCCTGGCAGGAGCTGGCTTCTGGAACCAGCTGCTATGCCTGGGAGGACACCGATGAGGGCAGCAGGCAGACGGGAAGAAACAACCTCTTTCCCTCCTACCTTCCAGTCACCTGCTAGATCCTTCTTGTCTGTACCTAACAGCTGGAAAAAGGAGAAGGTATTTCCAGAGCCCCAGCCCCAGTATCACTAAGCAGACTATGGAAGAGTAGGCATGGGGGGGAGAGACAATCACTTAATAAAGGGCAAGAGGCTGATCCAGTGCTTTGGTGGTCTCACAGCCTGCCCTGCTCAGCCAGCCAGTGCTGTTCCTCCAGGGTCAGAAAGGCCGTGAGGTCATGACTCACACTGCTGCTGCCAGGTATGACTCCAGAACTTCACAAAGCACCTTTCTACTTATTTATAATAACTAGTATGAAGTGACAACTGTTTCTCCCTTTCTCTTAGAATATAAAATACTACCAGGGTATCCGGGCTGCTGTGAGCAGGGTGAAGGACAGAGGGCAGAAGGCCTTGGTTCTCGACATTGGCACCGGCACAGGACTCTTGTCAATGATGGCGGTCACAGCAGGTGCTGACTTCTGCTATGCCATCGAGGTAAGCCACACTCATCAGGTGTGTGTCCTGCTTCTTGTGTGGGAAGTCCGTTACGCCCCTTGCACTTTGCATGTCCGTTTGTTCACAGACATTCTTGGAGTGCTCATTCTGTCTCAAGCACAGGGCCAGGTTCTGAGGATATAGAACTGAATCAGACACAATTTCTTCCTATAGGAGCACATTTTCTCCTCTGAAAATGGTAACTCTCACCCTGGCCAGAATGGCTCAGTTGTTTGAGTGTTGTCCTGCAAAGTGAAAGGTCGTCAGTTCAATTCTCTGTCGGGGCATATTCCCTGGTTGCCAGTTTGGTCCCCTTTTGGGGCATGTACAAGAGGCAGCTGATCGATGTTTCTCTCCCTTTCTTTCTCCTTCCCTTTCCTCTCTCTAAGAATAAGTAAATAATATATTAAAAAAACAACAACAACCCAAAAAACAATAGTTCTCAGCCTTGGCTGCATGTCAGGTTCTCATGACCACTGAGATTTAAAAAATACTGATGCCTACGGAGGGGTAGGGGAAGGCCGAAGGAGGAAGAAGGTATAGGAGGGATAAGTGGTAATGGGGAAAAATACAATAAAAAATGAATTGTTAAAAAAAATACTGATGCCTAACTCCCCCTCCTTGTCTCCTCTTCCAAATTTTGATTTAATTATTCTGAGATGTGGCCTGGGTATTGAATATGCACCAAGGTTGAGATACACTACTTTATTTTTTTTTTTTAAGATTTTGTTTATTTAGTTTTAGAGAGGGGAAGTGGGGGAGAAAGGGAGAGAAACATCAGTGTGTGGCAGCCCCTTGAGTGCCCCCTACTGGGGACCTGGCCTGCAACCCAGGCATGTGCCCTGACTGGGAATCGAACCCAAGACCCCCTGATTCTCAGGCTGGTGCTCAATCCACCAAGCCACACCAGTCAGGGCGAGATGCACTACTTTAAATGTCCCTACAGAGCCAGCTATTACTATGTTTATCAATAGTTTGGCAATCTGCGATTTCTTTCCCATAATAAAACATTAAACATTTTATCTTTCTGATAATGCAAATAATACATATCTTTATAGAAAATTTGTTAAATATAAAATAAAAATAGTGTGTTAATTCAAAGTTAACCATTGCTAAAATTTAGTGTCTATTCTTCTAAGCTCTTGGGGCAAAATTTTGTCCCTATGGTGATTGAGTTGCAAATAACAAAGTCCACATTAACCGTGGCTTAACCAAGGAAGAAGTTTTTTGCTTTCTCACATGAACTTTGGAAGTCAGCACTTCAGGGTGTTCTTCCAAGATTCCTTTCATGTGCCTGCCCCACCATCTCTACAACGTGGCCCTCATGATCACAGTCTAGAAAGGCGGACGTTTTCAGCTTGGGAATACTGTGGTATGTTTAGGGACCACGGTTATCCAGAGTCTCAGCAAAAGGTGTCATGATAGACAAAGCCATCTCCAGGACCTGAGTGCCACAGTGGAGTTTTAACTGTACTATCTTGAGTTAGGTGTTTGTGGGTGTTTTAAAAGATTTTTAAAATTATTTTTAGAGAGAATGGAAGGGAGGGAGAAAGAGAGGGAGCGAAACAGTGATCAGTTGCCTCTCGCACAGCCCCAACTGGGGACCTGGCCCGCAACCCATGCATGTGCTCTGACCAGGAATTGAGCCAGCGATCTCTTGGTTCACAAGCCGTGGTACTTAATCCACAGTGCCACACCAGTCAGCGTTCGAGTTAGGTGTTCTTAACCTAAGACGAGAATAATGGGCTTCAGATCTCCTTGAAAGTCCCGAGAATTGTATGCGTATGTACGTGTGTGTGTGTGTATGTGACTGTACAATTGTCTCAGGATTGCATAAAAAGGATTAAAAGCTACTTCTTGGCCTTTTGGGGAGTTCTCAAGGTTTTTGAGCAGATACGTAGAAATCTGTTTTAGGATGATTGCCTTGATATCTTCAAGTAGATTTTATTATCAATAAAGAAACTAAGACGAGAGGTTAAAAATTTACTCAGGTCTCATAGTTAAAAACTAGGAGAGCTAGAATTGCTGCCTTGGTCTTCGGGGTCCTAATTATGCTCAGTCTACGGCCATACCACCCTGAACGCGCCTGATCTCACCTGATCTCGGAAGCTAAGCAGGGCCCGGCCCGGTGAGTACTTGGATGGGAGACCTAATTATGGAGCTCACTCAACAGTGATAGCTTGGGGAGGTGGGGGGGTGCGGTGTTGTGTGTGTGTGTGTGTGTGGGGGAGAGAGTGTTAGTTTTCTAATGTGAGTGTCTGGTGTTCGAGGGGGCAGTGATGCCATTGACTTGGGAGAGGAACTCAGAGGAAGAGGCTTACTTTGTGGGAAAGAATGGCATTTCATGGTGGATATGTTAAATATGTATGGACTACTGATGAGAAATAGAGTGAGAACATGTTTATTTGAGAGAATTGATAGGACTGTGCTCTTGGGTTTTCCAGATTCCCATCTCATTTAACTGAATTTCTGATTCTGTCTTGCTGCTCTAGCCTGTGATTTCTGTGGCAAGTGCTTAGAAAACAAAGCATGGTCCTGGCTTCCTCACTTTTTCCATTTTAAGAGCAAGAAGAACTTTCCCAGGAATCTCTAGCAAACCTCTCCTTGGCTGTCATTGGCCAGAAATAAGGGCAATTTAACTTCCCTTATCCCTGGCAAGAAGGATTCAGTTGCCCTTAGACCAGACAGAGGCACCACTTGAAAGAAGGTTCCAAACTGATTTGAGGGCAGGGGAGGACACAGAATGATGTTTGGAAGCCAGTTTTAGGTTTCACTCCAGGTAGTATTTTGCATAAGATCTTGAGTGCTTGGTGGCTAAGGAGGTGGAGGCTATCAGTGGTCAGAGCCTGAAGGGTCAGTGGACCAGATGAATATGTTAACAGGTGGGAGGGCTGAGGGTATGGCATGAGCTTGTGATACTTTTGGGGTGGAGGCAAAGTGATTGGCGAGAACGGAGGGTTTGAGGCCCTCAGGCTACATCTAAAAACATCAAGCCAGATCCTAGAAATAATTTAAAACAGATTGTGAAGATAGTTCGCTTTCTTTTTTCTCTAGCTAAGCACACAGGTATTCTGTAAAAAATATACAGGGTCCGGCAGAAGTTAACACCTGCTTGACTATGGTTGGTGGGGTAGTAATATGGGTATAATAATTTGGGTATAATAATTTATAGTTTTAATTTGAAACTTTCACCTAAAATGTCATATGGTGTGCTTGAGTGTGATATTGTTCTGTTACAAAAATACATGCTAATGATTTTTTAATAAAAGATTTTATAATAAAAAGGGGTGTTACTTGTGCCAGACCCTGTATATTTACACATACAAGTATATAGAACAAAAAGCATGGAAGCCTTGCCCTGTTCCGTTCCTGTGAGGATGGGTGCTTGGCCCCTCTGCTTCCTCTCAGGAGGAGCTCGCCTTTGCAGGGGCCAGCACTCATTTCCACCCCCCAGCCCCTACTTGCACCCTGGGAGCACAGGGAGCTCACTACTTCCTAAGAGGAAATTCCACTGTCAGAGTTGTTCGTCAGCTACTTCCTCAAAATGTGCAGACTCCAACACCTGTCTCCTCCCCAAGACCAGATGGTACCGGCCAAGGCCGTGAGGTGCTGAGGACCGAGGGGACCCTGCAAAGGAGGCCTCTTGGCCCCGGTGTCCTGGAGAGACCTTGATCCATGGCAATGTCTGGACAGAACCTCTGTATAAAGTCTTTCACTCCTGTAACAGAAACTCCAGAAGCAGCAAATCTTCCAGTTAATACTGCACAAATCCAGGGAAGTCTTTTCAGTATTATTAGCTCATAACTGGAAATATTTGAAAGCCTAAATGTAATGAAGTCATAAAAATAGCCACCCCCCACTTGTACTGTGCCAGTGCTGTGCTAACCCCTCTACACTGTTGGCACTGACCACAACTGTAATTATATACTTATTTGTATCATTCGTGCATTTAATATCTGACTTCCCCATCAGACTCAAAACCCCTCCAAGCAGGAAGTGTGTCTTGCTCCAGGATCTCAGTCCCCAGTGGCTGGAACAGAACACACAGGAGCTGCTTGATAAACATCAGCTGAAAGAAGAAAAGCATGAACAAAGCCATATTTTATTGAATCCATACAATAACCTAATGAAGTACATCATTACCCTTATGCTGTAGATGAGGAAAGGGACACAGGTACAGTAATAAATCTGAGCACTACATGCCAGGTCCTAAGCTAAGAGCGTTGCTCAGATTATTGACTCCTAACAGCACCGGTATTATCAGGTTTTATCTCTACAGGGTCCAGCACAAATAACACCCCTTTTCATTATAAAATCTTTTATTACAAAATCATAAGTATGTAATTCTGTAACAATAATACACTCAAGCGCACCATATAACATTTTAGGTGAAATGTTCAAATTGCTGTCCATCTCATGTGAGACATTCATGTACTCTGCCAGCCACACTCAAGCAGGAGTTAATTTCTGCTGGACCCCATGTGTGTGTATGAAGGATATAACATCTCTCCCTTGACTATAGTAAAAGAAGTGTGTGTTCATGGCGGAAAATGCAGAAAAAGACGTAAAAAAAAGGAAATCTTGTCATTTTGGAACCAGTATCAGCTGTTATATTTCCCCTCTTTGTGTGTGGCTGCACATGTGTCTGTATGTTTTAGGTCCTAACATGGCTGAAGCTGTAGAGTCTAAATTGAGCAGGCTGGAACATAGGAATTGGAGGGGCTTATGTTTAGGGACATGCGAAGCGTTCAGGGAAGACTTCTAGAGAGGGGTTTCTGTACTGCCCTGGAAAGTTGCATTTGCTTTGGCCAGTGGGGTTAGGACAGGGAAGACTCAGGTTTGCCTGGGAATAGTGATTGTGGCTGGGAGTATCAGTTGTCGGGGGGATGGGCTTTGGGGGAATGGTGGGGGCAAGGGGAAGCAAGGTGGTTCGTATTATGGAGGACATTGAATACCGTAAGAAAATATAAGTGGTGTCCTGCCAGCATTGGATTTGGACAGTTTTGCTCACACTTGGGTCTAACATAGTAACAGTCTCTCTTTCATCTAGAGAACATTGGACACATCTTGTCACAGGTCACAGATCTTTGTTTTGTGAGGGGAGTCCTCTTCCTTGTTCTCTCTATTGTGGCACTGACACCTGCTGTCCTTTCTAGGAGTGCAGCCTTCTTGGGATTCTGTGCAAACCTGTCGTCTCCCTTTCTGGGAACTCCCAGCTGCCAGTTAAACCCAGTGGAATCTCATTCTTTTGTATTTATTTTCATGAAACACATTTGGAGAGTAAGGTATTGAAGTTGCACTGACGAAGCTCTGTTTATTTAAATTAAATCAGCCCAAAGAAATATTTTGCCTATATCTTGAATGGTGACAAAGGTACATTTTGTATATTCAGGAGGAAATTCTGTAGTGCAGACCTCTTTTGCTTCAAATCTTAGGACTAGACTCAAGGAACGTCTTGCTAATCTTGGGTGTTAGGATGATTGCTAATTTTTCTTGGGTTTTGGCTCTAATTTCTAGGTTTTCAAGCCTATGGCTGATGCGGCTGTGAAGATTGTGGAGAAAAATGGCTTCAGTGATAAGATTAAGGTTATCAACAAACATTCCACAGAGGTGACTGTGGGACCAGGTAAGATCAGCACATGCTGCATTGAAAGCTTTGCATGTTTTAATAAGAGAGAGGAAAAGGCTTATTGAAGTTACCTGCAGTAAACGTCTCCAGGTATTTGCAGAGATATGGGACCTCTTCATGTGTCTGAAGATCAGAACTTTACTTCTCTACTAGTTTATTTCTTTTTTAGCTAAAGCAGGTCAGTAATGAGTAAGCCAGAACTAATCAAGAGCAATGGCTATGATGCATACAAAACCTTTTGCTTTAAGCAAGTTGGAATTCTGTGTGGCTCAGCTCTCTTGTTTCTAGTTTTATCTGACAGAAGTGAAACTAAGTAGAAAGCAGAAACAGCAGGGTGTACTTAGTTCTCACACCCTGCTTCAGCATCTAGCATGAAAGGTTTGTCTGTAGAGCACAATCCACGTTTCCAGGATATTTTTTAGAGTCTAGGAGCTTGAACTGGACTTACAAAATTTCACATGCCCCTGATACCTGGAGAGCACAGTGGAAAGATTTGTAAAAGAAGGTCCTTAGGTGAGGTTATGGGTTTCACCCCAGTTTTTTAAAATACAGTATTTTACTACAAAGCATCTACCTAGGGTCAACATTTTCATCCCATTAAAAAACAATTTTTCTTTAATGGAGAATCTGAAAGATGCACAAAAGGAGGAATTAGTGTCCCTTTTATTTATTTTTAAAACATGTACATACAAAAGAATGTACAAATCATTATTCCATTTTTAATCAACATTATTGGGGTATAATTTACATAAAGTGAATCCACCCATTTTAACTATACAGTTTGATGGGTTTTGGCCATTTTAAGTAAACTTATAATCACTCTGACCACCACCACAATCAAGACAATAGAATATCTCCATCATGCCCGAAGAGATTCTTCAATAACCCTTACATCAATCTCTCCCATTGCCCTGGCCCTAGGCGTCTACTGTTCTGCTTTCTTCAGTTTAGATTAAGCTCTCCTTTTCTAGAATTTTGAGTACTTGGAATCATAGTGTGTAGTCTTCGTACCTGCTTTCTTTTCTGTTGCACACTGCTCTTGAGAGTTTGACCACGTTGTTTTGTGTATCACGAGTTCATTCTCACCTTGACTGGTATAGGTTGAGTGTTGTCCTGCAAACTGAAAGGTCGCTGGTTTAATTCCTGGTCAGGGCTCATGCCTGGGTTGCAGGCTGGGTTTCAAATTGGGGACATGTGAGAGGCAACCAATCGATGTTCTCACATATTCATGTTTTTTTCCCCTCTTTCTCCCTCTCTTTGCCTCTCTCTAAAAATGAATAAGTAAAATCCTTTTTTTTTAAAGAGTTCATTCAATCTCTTCTATTCCTAAGCAGCACTTCATGTGTGGATGTACCATAATTTGTTTAACCCTTCACCTGTTGATGGACATGGATACTTTCTTGGATTGGTCTTTAGGTTTACTGATCTTTTCTTGTGTGGTGTCCAGTCTTCTGTTAAGCACATGTAGTTATCTTTTCATTTCTGGTATTGTACTTCTTATCTCTAAAATGATTTTTTTATAACTTTAATTTTCCTCCTTATGTTCCTATGTGCCTTTAAATACTTAATATATTTATAGTAGCTGTTTTAACATCCTTATCGTCTATTTCCATTATCTCTATCGTTTAGGGGTTCTGTTATCCTAGTTTTGGGTTGCATTTTCCTTCCTGGCATACCTAGTAATTTTTATTTGGATGCTGTGGGAATTTTGCATTGCTAAGTGCTGGATTTTGTTGCCTTCCTTTAAAAGCTTTGTTTGGTGTGCAGTTGGGTTACTTGCAGATCAATTTGATCCTTTCAAGGCTTGTTTTAAAGCTTTGTTGAGGCAGACTTAGAGTAGCTTTAAGTCATGGTTTCTCAACAGCAGCACTGTGAACATTTTGGGGCTGATAATTCTTTGTTGGGCGATGGAGGGAGCTATTCTGTGCTTTGCAGGATATTTATCCCTGGCTTCTAACCAGTAGAAGTCAGTAGTACATACCCCGCAACCCCTGAGCCAACCAAAAAAGTCTTCAGATATTGCCAAATGTCCCAGGGTGAAGAATGGAGGCAAAATTGTCCCCTGTTGAGAACCGCTGCTCTAAGACTCTTTAGCCATACTAGTAAGGCATGACTTTTCTAGAGTCTCTGCTGAGTGCCTGGGTGCTGGCTGATCAGACCTGGGCTGTTACCCAGTCCTCTGTGAGCTCTGGAAATTGTTCACTGTATAGCTAAATGGTTGCCTTTACCCAGCCTTCTAGAGTCTTACCCTGTGTGTGTGTGAATATATTCAACAAGAGACCTAAGGGGAGCCCTCTGCAAATTTCTGAAGCCCTTTTCTGCATAACTTCCTCCCTGGTTCTCCCCCTGGCAAGGCCCAGCTGCCCCCACTTCCCTGATCTCCGATCGTTGTCTGTTTAATTAATTTAGCAAGATTGCAGTGTACTGCGTGCTTGCTTTCTCACTCCCTGTACTGTGTCTGCTGGCTGAAAGTGAGAGCAGTAGTAGTCTCTTTGTTTCCCTTCTTGGGGGACAAACTGTGTTGCCTCTTGTTCAGCATCTGAAGACACTTGTTTCATATATTTTGTCTGGTTTTCTTACTGACTACAGCAGATGGATGTCTGATCCTAGTTACTCCACTTTGGCCAGGGTTGGAGATCATTTATTTTTTAAAGTTTGTCTGTTTTGGCAGCAGACTGACTGACCTGCAGAGCAGCCTTTGCCATGTCACTCTGTCTGTGACGCTGTGCTGGCTTCCAGGCTGTGTTGTTCACATACACCCTGCATTAGGCCAGATCCCTCAATGGTTTCTTAGTACTTTCTCTTTGTAGTGCTAATCACTGCAATAATGAAATCATTATGTAATTATGTATCCCCACATAGCTGAGCATCTTGAGGTCATGGACTGTGTGGTCTTATTAATTATTCCATTTCATAACTTGCATATATCTCGCATGAAAGGATTTAGTAATATTTGTTTACTGAGTAGATTGTCAGCTTTGCTTGATCCTTAATCCCCTGTAAAGGGGACTTTGTTTCCATTCCCTCAGTTTGACAAGTGGCTTTATTGCCAAGGCTGATGATCTTCCCTCTGCTTTTCCTCTTAAACACTGCAGCTTTTGGTACTTCTGACATTTAGACTTCCTGGTAACTCTCTTCCCCGGCTTCCTTTGCAGCTTTCGTTCTCTTTGCAACTTTCTTTCTCCCCCAAATGCATGTTTTCCAAGGTTCTGTTCTCAGCCCTTTGTAAAAATAACATCTAAGTTTGTTGCCTCTTTCCCAGAGATTGGTGGATCTCACACGGAGACGTGTAGCAGCTGACTCAGGGAGCAGTTGTTCACCCACCCAGGCCCTGGGGCGAGACTTGCAGCGCCTGGAGCAAGCACCCCATGCAGGCTGTCACCGCGCCCTCTGTGCACCCTTCCGTGTTAGCATTCCCATGCTAGACACCAGGCTCTCAGGAGCATTTCTTGAAATTCACTGGATTGTAGAGTTCGATTTGTTTGAAGCAAATTTGGACAATAAATCATTTCAAGGTACATAATTAGCTTAAAAATTATTAAGGAGTTAGTATTGGCAGGGCTCGGTGGTTGATTGGATGTAAGGTGACAGGGAGGAATGAAGAATTCAGCTAATGTTTGCTGGCTGTCACTGGGTACCTAGCATTGTTCTAGGCACTGGGGTACAGTGCTGAACAGACCAGTCAGGGTCCCTATTCTCCTGGAGCTAGTAAATGCTGCCCAGTTTTTGGGACTGAGTGGCATTCATTGAGGCAGAAACATCAGAGGGAGAAGCAGGTGCATAGGGGTGGGGGTGCTTGGCTCCGTTTGGGACAGTGTGTTTCAGCTGGAGTTTGGCATGCTATCAGAGAGGATGGGCAGGGCCATTTGGAGGGTGATCTCTGTGCCATGGGACAGAAGTTTCTTCTTAGCCTTTTTTCATCTCATATTGCCATTGAACACAAGTGTACTTCATAGGAAGTGGACAGCTTTTATCTTTGCTAGCCTAACCACTGCTGCGTGGAGCAGGTCTTTTTCCCCCCATGTAACAGATGAGGTGGCTGATGGTCAGCACTGAGGGCTGAAGGCTGGAAAGCAGGCTGAAAGCCCCGGTGTCCATGACTCGGGGTTTAGGCTCCCTGCTGTACCACTCTTGGACCCTTTTAATGGTCCTCTTTTCTTGCATCACCCACAAGACTTGTCTTCTCCATAGGGAAGATGAGTGGGCTCTGTTCGTTGTAATTCATGAGTCATGATGAGTGTTTAGTGAATTCTCCGTGATGAATGGCCTCTTCCAAAGTCTGTTTTGTCTCTTGGCTCATTGAAAATTATAACGGTAGAAGTAGCATTACATTACATCATATTATAGAAGTTTAGAAAATGTAGTTAATAAAAAGATCCACCATAACCCTACTTTCCCAAACAACTGTTATTTGGGACATTGTTTGGTAGCAAGAAATGAACTTAATTCCGGGGGACTTAGTGTAAGGAACTGGCGATTGTGAACCCTGGGTATCAGTGGAATCAGTCAGCCTTTCTGTTTTGCTTTGGTTTTCTCTCACTTTCTGCAGCCAGAAATATTTGAAATATCAGCATTCAGTTTTTGCTTTAATTTTTCTTAATTTAATAATTAATAGTTTAATTGTTAATTTGTATACAGAAAAGTTGAAAAAGTAGTAGTATAGCAAACCCCCATATTCTCTTAACGAAGACTTAACTGGTTAGCATTTTGAGATATATGTATGTATACAAATTGTTTTGCCTAACCATTAAGTCAATTGAGACATGACACTTTTAAATACTTCAGCATTTATATGTGCTTTCAGTTTAATAGCTTAGTAATCTTTTATCTGCATCTGTTTGCTGTTAATATTTTTTCTAGGCTGTTGCTTGCTTCTGATCCTGTTTCATTGTGTTTCTCAGGTGGTGACATGCCATGCCGTGCCAACATCCTGGTCACGGAGCTCTTTGACACGGAACTGATTGGGGAGGGAGCGCTGCCCTCCTATGAGCATGCACACAGGCATCTCGTGCAGGTAAGGGACAAAGAACCTCCCCTGGGCGTATTGCTGAGATCTCAGCCAGCTTACACAGCTCACATTGACACACCATGCTCTTCCCAGCCTGAGCCCCTGGTACCTGTTCATATACCCTAGGATACCCCTTGATTCCTGCAGGATTCTGGTTCTCCTTAGTTATGACTTCTGTGCCTCTCGAATTCAAGTTTTTTGGTAGGTTAGAGTCAAAAAACCAGAAACTGTCTTCAAATTCAGTTCAATTTAGCAAACACTCTTTGAGTGTCACATGTGTGTAAAGTGTTCTAGCATCGAAGGGGAACTATAAGACATCCTTATTGCGTTAACCCACACTAGTCAGTGGTGGTGAGAACGGAATGGGCTGAGTGGAGAGGCAGACAAAAACAACACAGACATATGATTTAGGACTGATAGAAGAGGTTAGGGGGGCATGTGGAGATGGTGGAATTTGAAAAGACACTGAGGAGAGGGAGGGATGACCCAGGTGGAGGGACCTGTTTGGTAGGTCACTGAGAACATCAGCCTAGGGGGCTCTGAGCTAAGGGCGGAGAATGGAGGAGAGGGTAGAAGGCCCTGAAAGACCAGGCCATGCCAGGTATAGGAGTTTGCGTAGTGCCCAAATGGCTCAGTTTGCTGGAGCATTGTTCCATACACCAAAAGGCTGCAGGTTCGATTCCTGGTTGGAGCACATATGGGAGGCAACCAATCCATGTTTCTCCTTCTCTCTCGCACTCCCTCCCTCCCTCCCTCTCTTTCTCTAAAAATCTATAAAAAGATCCTCAGGTGAGGATTTAAAAGAGAGAAGCATTGAAGATATTATCTTGGAGATGTTTGTCTTGCTTTTGTATGGACATAAACTGGAGGTAGAGACCCAGAGGGAAAGGCCAGTCATGGAGGGGTCCGCTACTTCTGCCGGCACCTGCCCTGTGTGCGCTGCAACTGTCCCACTCAGGAGCCTTCTTTCCGGGTTCTCGGTGCCCTCAGTGAGGAAGGGGTTTCCTTCCAGGGCAGTCAGGACCAAAGTCCTGACTTTGGTGTGTGATTGTGAGTGTTCTGTAGATCCCTGTGCTTTGGGAGTTGTCTAATCATTTCCAATGTGTAAAACCCTTTTCTAGTAACTTCAGTAATAGCAATTTCTATATCTTCACATTAAAACCACTAACTAAATATATCCCTGATACAGAAAGAAAACAAGGATATTTAGAATTTATGTTAATGTTGACCAGTTTTCTTCCTTTAATTCATTATATAAAAAGGTAGGCAGACAGCCCTGGCCTGTATGGTCCAGCTGGTTGAGTTTCGTCCTGCAAAGTGAAAGGTCACCAGTTTGATTCCCAGTCAGGGCACATGCCTGGGTTGTAGGCTGGGTTCCTGGTTGGGGGCATGTGAGAGGCCACTAATTGAGAGGGGAAGGGAGGGAGGCCTTTCTTTCTTCCTCCCTTCCCCCCTTTCTAAAAATAAATAAAATCTTTAAAAAATAAAAAAGGTAGGCAGACAGCTATCCTCAGTTTCCTCTCCCAGCTGGCCTGTAGCAGCCAGGTATGCATTGTCCACTCTAATCACTGTCCCCATGTGCCCACCCGTGTCTGAGCTCAAAGGAGGTAGGGCTGGCACACAAAGGCTGCCATTGTCCTGACCTTCTTACTGTCTTACTGGAGGTCATGAAACTGGGATGCTGGCATAGCTGATAGATAGTCCATGTGGTAATGACCCAAGGATTGATCTTAGAAGACCCTTATATTAAATGCCTTTATTTTGCCAGGCGCTTTTTTGGGTACCAGGAATATGAAGGTGGGCTCCCGGAGCGGTAAGTAGGTGAGCAGGTCATCGCAGTACAGTTTGAGTTACACACTGATGGTGGTCAGTGGGGTGAGACCCTGCCCGCTCTGATGAGGGAAAGGTGAGGGATCAAGGAAGGTGAAGCTCAAGTTGTGTCAGTCTTGAAGAGTGATCAGGTAGTGGCCTGGCAGGTGCGGGGGATATTTACAGCAGAGGAGGTCAACATGCACAAAGACACGAAGGTGACTTGGTGCGGTGGCTCCCAGTTCCTGCGAGTAGTTTGGCTGATGGGTAGTGTGGGAGGTGGGGTCAGAGTTGTGGCTAGATTGCTGGGCCGGGCTAGACCGAGAAGGGCTGCTGTGCTCCAGGAGGCAGCGTGGCAGCACAGAAGGGTTCCAGGCAGGGGGTGGTTTGTGCTGGCAGACCATGAAGACCATGTGACCATGAAGAAAGCAGCTGGGGAGCAAGGCCGGAGGCAGGAAGGTGGTTGGAGTCATTCAGGCACTGGGCTGAGGCGGGCCTCAGGTAAGGCCATAGAGATAGGCCAGAAGAGGTAGAGTCGAGGAGGAGGGCGGTGGTCATGGTAGACAGAGAGGCACTGAGGATGCTGCCCGGGTTTAAAGCTTGAGTGACTGGATTGGATGGTGGTGCTTCCTGTCAACTGGGAGGACCAAGCTTGGGAAGGTGAGAAATGGGTGAAGTTGGATTTGTTCTCTTGTTTTCTGTTTTTTTTTTAAAGATTTTATTTATTTATTTTTAGAGAGAGGGGAAGGGTAGGAGAAAGAGAGGGAGAGAAACATGGATGCACAAGGGAAACATCGATTGTTTGCCTCTCATGTGCCCTGAGCTGGGGACCTGGCCTGCAACCCAGGCATGTGCCCCTGACCAGGAATCAACGTTCTGATCCACAGGTCGGCACTCAATCCAGTGAGCCACACCAGCCAAGGCGGATTTGTCCAGTTTAGACAGAGTTTGAGTTGTCCAAGGGTCAGCCAGGGAGGAAGGACCAAGAGGCCTTTGGCTACATGGTGCTTGGTAAATGAAGACAGAGTGATTGAGGTTGCTCTGTGGTGTGGAGGGAGAAAGAAGGCAGTCCAGGCCAGGTCTCTGGGGAGTCCCCTCTGGGAGGTATGGGCAGGGGGTGTGAGAGTCCAGCTGGAGCAGTGCTTCTCATCCAGAGCCACGTGTGGAGACATTTTTAGTGTCACAGCTGAGGAGGGGTGGTGCTATACTGTTATCTTGTGGGTGGAGGCCCATGATATTGCTAAACATGCTACTGTCCCTGCAAGGAAGGATCTTCTGGTACAAGAGGTCACTAGTGCTGAAGCAGAGACTCCCTGAGCTTGTCATTTCTGTGTGGTAGCAGCCGTGAGTGCCCTCTTCCCAGGTGGGCCCTCGTGCCTGGTGTGTCAAAGATGTCAGTAAATGAATGAGGTAGGAGGAGAACTGGAAGAGGGACCGCAGCCAAAGCCAAGCGACGGGAGCAGTCAGCAGTGCCCGGTGAGGCCACAGGGCCAGGTTAGTTGAGGGTAAACACTTGTCCATGGGTTGTGATAAGAAAGTTCTGGAGCCTGGGCAAAAGCTACACTGAAGGAAAGCTTTGAGCCCAGTGCCAGAATTAGGGCTTAGCAGGAAGAATTGGACTCTTTCTTCAGAATCGATGTGGGAGTTAATCAGCATAATGACTATTAAGGTTTATTTTTGAAGTATTTAAGAGTGTCAGGTAGCTGGGAACATATTTGACATAAATCATTTTAGGCATAACATGTAATCCGTTTTCAAATCTTTTTTTTCTTTCCCAAGGGCATTGGGCTGAAAATAGTTGACTATGCTAATGGTAGTAAGGTGTTAGATGTTTCTGAACTAGCCTAATATTAAGGAATAACCCTCTTTTGTTCAATTGGAATTACGGTGGGTCAGTGTGCCTGGTTTGTTTATTTATTTATTTTTAATATAAACTTAGGAAAATTGTGAGGCAGTGCCTCACAGAGCAACCGTCTATGCGCAACTGGTGGAGTCCAGAAGGATGTGGTCATGGAACAAGCTCTTTCCCATTCGTATTCAGACCAGCCTTGGAGAGCAGGTCATCGTCCCCCCCTCGGAACTGGACAAGTGCCCTGGTGCACCCTCTGTCTATGACATTCAGCTGAACCAGGTGTCACCCACCGACTTCACCGTCCTCAGTGATGTGCTGCCTATGTTCAGGTACCAAGGGGTAACCTGGGTGATGGTGCTTTGAGAAATTTTGTGGAATTGGGATCTTTGGAAGTTCTTTTCAAGTGGAAATGAACCCTGCTGATGTCACCTGCCTCTGAAGACAGGGGTCCATTGCAGACAAGTCTCATTGCTGGGGAGGTTGCCATAAACGCTTAAGGAGTGTGTGAGCTCAAAATGTGCTTAAGTTCTTGAATATTCTTCCACAGTGTGGACTTCAGCAAGCAAGTCAGTAGCTCAGCAGCCTGCCACAGCAGGTGGTTCGAACCTCTGGCATCTGGCCAAGCTCAAGTAGTTCTTTCCTGGTGGGACATTGAAATGGACCCCGAGGGGAAGATCAAGTGCACCATGGCCCCGTTCTGGGCACACTCAGATCCACAAGAGCTCCAGGTGAGAGGCAGGAGCTAAGCACGTTTTCATGGAAATCAAGAAACCTGACCAGTTTTTGTTGTAGGAAAGTAGCATGTTGACCTTTAGATTCACAAGAATTTAGAGCTGGAGGGACTGTGTCAGAATCAAAGAAGAGATTTTTTTTGTTTGTTTTGTTTAAAAAGCAAGGCTAGCTGTAATAAGATATAAGGTAGACATCTCAGGCCAAGTTCATGGTCAGCACCAGCGGACACTGTGAACCGTAGGAAAGCTTTGGTATATTAGCTCTTCATCATATCAGCTTGGAATAAAGAACTTGAAATGAGGGCTGTCTACAGCCTCACTTTCTGTGATCTCAAAATCTACCTTTCCCAGATCAGTTGAAAGTGGATGGAGGACATGAACTACAGAAAAGGAAATACAGAGTACTCCTTAACATGTGAAAAATTGTTCAGCTTTACTTACAAAAGCAATGGAGATTTAAACTGCAGCGAGATACCATTTTTCACCTATTAGTGAAAAAAGTTCAAAAAGGGGCAGCACACTCTTGCTGGAGCTGTGGGGAAGAGCAGGAAGGGGTCCTTGGAGCTCCTTGGAGCTCAGCAAGGCCCAGTTCATCACGGTGGGAAATGATGCCACTGCTAGACATTTAGGCTCTGGATAGATTTGCATATGTGCACATTGACATGTGCCAGGATATTCACTGCAGTCGTGATTTAGTAGAAAAGACTGGGACACCCTAAAGGGCACCAGTAGGGGACTGGCTAAATACATAACCCTGCATTCAGTGAATGAGGCAGCTCTCTGTGCACTGATGTGGAACACTCTCCAGGCTATATCATTAAGTGAAGCAAAAACAGAGGTACAGAACAGCGTGTGGTATGCCAGCATTGGTGTTATTAAAAATAAGAATATATGTGGATGAATGTGTACTTGTGGTGTGTGTATTTAAGAGTATCTTTGGAAGGATTCATAGAAATTGGTAAAAATGGTTGCTTCTGGGAAGTTGGCTGAAGGTGAGGGGTAGAAAGGAGACTTTTTCACTCCATGACTCTTATTTTTTTAATTTTTTAAAAATTTATTGATTTTGGGGCAGGGGGAGAGAAACATCGATTTGTTCCACTTATTTATATATTCATCGGATAAGTCTTGTATGTGTCATGACTGGGGATCAAACCTGCAACCGTGGCTTGTTGAGTTGGTGCTCCAATGAACTGAGCTATCCGCCGGGGCTCATCCATGCCTCTTTTGTTTCTTTTGAATTTTCTTTCATGTATATGTGTTATTAACCCCTCTACATACACAGTCAGGAAAGATGCTGCAGGGCTGAGTAATCAAAGCTTCCCTCTCTACCTGGGTACCTTCCTCTGGGTCCCTTTTTCCTGCTACCACCAGCTGGGCACTGGCTTTGCTTTGGTTGGTTCCAGGTGTACACAGGTGACCTAGGGAAGGCCCCAGCAGCTCTCTGGCTTCCTGAGTTACTGCTTTTGCTAAAGGGCCATGACTGCTGCAGGATTGTGGTCCCTTCCCCTGGGCTTGTGAACTTCCCCCCTCTCTAATCCCCCTTCCAGTCTCCTGGCCCAGACAGGCAGGTGCATGCCCAGGCAGTGGGTTGAACTTCCCTTTTCCGCAGCCTCTGTCCTCTGCAGGCTGAGTGTGTGTGTGTATGAGGGAGTGAGAATTCTTCCACAGAGTTGAGATTGGCCCTGGGTAGGAGTGCAATGGTTGCAAAATTAGCATAAGAATATCATAAAAATGTTAATCCTTTTCATCTGCCTACCTTCAGAGTGCCACTGGGATATTTTCTTCTCGGATCCTCATGGGAGACATGCTGGGTAACCACATAATGTGCAGACTGAAACTCAGCCTGACCCAGTGCTCAGAGTAGGGCCTCGTGTCTAGGCCCCAGTGGTGGGTGCTCGCCTCCAGGTCTGACTGTGAGGCTTGTGTCCTTCCTCCACCAGCAGTGACTTTTGGACTATTAGGATTCAAAGAGCTGAAAATGACTCCCCCTCCTGACTTCACTAAAGTTCTCTTGATCTGAAATCTCTTCAGTCTGTCTCACCTTAGACAAGGGGTTCTGGCAGCAGCTCTTTAGTACTGAGACCTGGAAGGCTGGTGTGTGGGAAGGACCCGGTGACAGGGAAGCACCATGGGAGCACATGGGGTTAGGGGAAGGCTTCTTTTGTCTTAGGATTAATTTGCACAGTAGGAAAGAATAACAGCTTTCAAGAATCTGTTTTTTCTTTCTGTTACTGTTTATTTTTTTCCAGGATATGTCTGGTTAGATTTTCATTTTTTAGCTCTTATGTGCAAATAGACATCTTAGGTTCAAGGAGCATCATTCACTTGCCTTTTAGGTAAATTCGGGAGTAGATAGGGTAGGTTGCAGTCCTCACAGAGTGAACACGCAGTTGTCTCATCAGAGTTGAGCCAGGCTTCCACTGTTGGGGACAGTTCTTTCTTTTTTAAAAAGAGGCTTAAAGATTAGGAGAGTAATAAACCTCATTATATAAGACAAAACTGAATCAAGTCACCTGTGGGCCTACCACCCCAAAGAGCTCCCTTACTTTGCTCTCTCCATGTGCTTGGGTTTTTGCCAGACTAGTTTTTGTTTTGTTCTTGCTGCTTCATAGTCTTCATATTCATCATTTTAAATGTCTGTGTGTATTCTGTGTAAGGAACTTTTATGCATTACTGAACTGCTTTTTCTTTTCTTTTAGATTTTTTCTTTTCTTTTTTGTTCGTTTGTTTTTTAGAATAGAATCCTGTGTGTGGGGTTTGTAGTATCAAAGAGGATCAACACAACTTCTTAAAAGGTTGACTCTGAATCATTGTAAATCACGTTTAACAATTTAGAGTTTTTTGCTTCTTTAAGAACTAAGTCAATAGAATAAAACAAAACCTTCTGTACTATTTTCCCAACTTTTTATTTTGAAAAATTTTAAATCCACAGAATAAGTGAACATGAACACTGATGTGCCCATTACTTAAATTTATCAGTTGTTAACATTTGTCACATTTGTTTTTTCTGTTTTCCTTCCTCTCTCCGTCTTTCTACCCCACCCCCCTACCCCCAAGACCCCGCACACACAAGAGAAGGCCTGGAGTCCCCTCCCCTGAGCCCTTCTAAAGCCCCCTGCCCTAGGCCATGTTTTATTTCCCTAAAGCCAGCAGTGTTCCAGCAAGCTTTCCGGCCATTAACCTTTCTGACTTGAGAATTTTCTTTATCTCTTCTGCCACAGTAGCTATCTGTAGTCCACACTGTGGTCTCCCTGCAAACTGATTTTTTCAGGGGTTTTGGCTCTAGGATTAGAAGCGCTGCTCCTGTTGCAGTTTAGTGACTGCTGATTCTGTTTCCCGTTTCAGTGGCGGGACCACTGGATGCAGTGTGTGTACTTCCTGCCACAAGAGGAGCCTGTGGTCCAGGGCTCGGCCCTCTGCCTGGTAGCCCAGCACGATGACTACTGTGTGTGGTACAGCCTTCAGAGGACAAGGTATGCCCCGAGCCTTGTGGGGTCGGCCCTGGGCCTGTGACTCTGTGCACTTAAATAAATTTCCCATTTATAACGGGGAATTATAGAGGCACGGGTGGGCACATTTACATCTGAACAGAATAGGAGCAAAGTGTGTGACTGGATGTGTCAGCCCCTGTTGCATGTACTCGGAAGAGGCTGTCCCTGCTGTGGGGCCCCCATCTGGAGTAGACATAACTGAGAGTCTTGAATCAACGGCCCTCCAAGCTCTTAACACCCCTGTGGGAACCAATGCCTAGACTCATGCCCTGGAGAGAACTGTGGGTGTGCCATCGGGGCAGGTCCCCGTGCCATGTTTTCATGCTCACTGGTGCCTGTCAGTTCACACTCACCACTCTGTCTTTTCATTTCCTGGCCCAGTCCTGAAAAGAATGGCAGAGTCCACCCAGCGCGTCCCGTGTGCGACTGCCAGGCTCACCTGCTCTGGAACCGGCCTCGGTTTGGAGAAATCAATGATCAGGACAGAACTGATCAGTATGTCCAGGCCCTGAGGACAGTATGTGTCTAGTCCCTTGGGTGCCTGTGGGCAAGAAGGAGGTTGTCCATGGGCCCCAGCTCATTGCACTTAGGATTTGTTGCTTTCATTTTCTGTGCTCCCTGGTCTGTCTGCGTGACTTCAGCCAGCGGGTGGGCACTCAGGTAGAGCCTGGGAGCCTATTACTGGACCTTCTGGGGGCTTGTTCTCTGCTTGCTTGCAAGAGCCTGCAGCTGATTGCTTCCCTTTGGCCCTGCCTTAGTCCCCCTGGACACTTTGCCTTTGTGATCACCAGCAATTCCTGTCGGTGATCCCAGCGGATCCAGCCACCTCATCCGTCCTTTCATCTGCTGCCTCCTTTCTAAAATTTTCTACAATGTATAAATCTGGCCATATAACTTTCTGGCTGAAAACCTTTTCTCCCCACTGCCTGTGGCAGGGGTCCCTCAGCCTGGGGCCCACACACGGGGTTTGGAGGGGAGTCTCTTGGACCACTTGGAGTTGTATGCAGAAATATGTGCGTGCATGCATGTAGTTTGGGGTAGTGAGGATCCCAGGCGTCCCAAGTTCCTCTCAGATCTGTGTCCCATAAAGGCATCCCTGCCTTCGGTGAGTCACTCAGCAGGCCCACAGCTGTCTGTGCTGTGACCAGACAGGGAAGAGGCCTGTCATCATGGACTGGGTGGTGGCAGCAGAGAGTGGGGCAGGCCTGCAGGTGGGCCTTCTGGGGCAGCCTAAGAAGGGTCTTTCCTGATAGTGGGGTCTGGATGGGGAGAGGTGAGTGAGGTGGGTGTGCTGGAGGGTGGGGACTGGCTGCTGCCTGGGCCTAGGAAAGACCCAGCCAGGCAGTGGGATCTGTCAGTTTGCCAACAAGACTTTCTTGACACACTGTAAGAAAACTTGTGCTGAAGTTGCTCTTCTACAACAGGTGCTGAAGCCAGACAGTGTCTGCCTGTGTGTCAGCGATGGCAGCCTGCTCTCCGTGCTGGCCCATTACCTTGGGGCAGAGCAGGTATTGGACATGGGCCTTTCTGTCGGCTTCCTGAGTGCAGCTTTTGAGTTAGGGTGTCGTGTGGTTTGGGTACACAGTTCTGTGACTAAAGTTCTTTGCAAGTGCAGCTACCATGTATGTAACGTGCTTGCTTCAGAGGCTTGGGATTTATCGCTTCCATGTGTGGCCAGGAGGCAGGCTGTGGCCTTGCCTTGTACCTGCAGCTCCTCCGTCTGAGCTGCCACCTTGCTCTGGGGTCAGTGCAGAGTGTGGGTGCCCTCCTAGTGGGTAATGAGCATGGGTCGAGGTGGTTAGGTGATGCCTTCTGCCTTGGAATGATTTTGTCACATTTTGATCTTTAATTTCCCTGTTATGTGAATCTCCTACAACTAATAGCATGGTTTTCTTTCTAGGTATTTACAATAGAGAGCTCAGCAGCTTCTCATAGACTGATGAAAAAAGTAAGTGATAATTGTTGTTTACTGAAATAATGAGGGAGCCTGTGGTGCCTCCCTTCCTGAGTCTGGCACTTACAGCTTTGAAGTAGAGCTGGTACCAAGGGAACTGGGAGAAGTGGCTGCAGTAAGAGCTCTCCTTGCTCCTGTCTTGAGAGCTGGCCTGGAAGTCTTCTAGGGCTGTCATTGATTAGAAACAGACACATAGACCTTGTTTTGTTTATTAACTGAAGAAGTATAAGCTTTTCTCCTCACTTCACGTGAAACTAAAAAAATTAAATTGTTCGTGGCAATACAATTGAGTGTGTGATTTGTTTCTGGGACGCAGCCCGTGGAGTCATGCTCATGAGCTGGCCTGTCTGGTTGGTTCCGTGATGGTGTTTCTCCTCCTGGCCAACGATTGCTCTTGCTTTCCTTTCTGAAGGACAACCCACCTCCACCAAAACTGGTCGCCTCTTGTTAAGTCCTATTGATGTGCCTGCGAGAGAAATTTCTTTTTCTGTTACATTTTGCTAGCGATCTCATCCCTTGGTGTATAGGATACCCCGGAGGGGAGAATTTCCACAGAGCAGATAAAAGTGGTGTTCCAGAACTATTTGGCCAGAAAAGCAACTTTGAGATGTTTTTCTCTGGACAAAAAAAAATAATATTTTTATTTTATCTCTAAGATCTTTAAGGCTAACGACTTGGAAGATAAAATTAATATAATAGAGAAACGGCCTGAATTATTAACATCTGCAGACTTGGAGGGTAAAAAGGTGAGTAATGAGAGTTTGCAGTGGGCGGCATAGCACTAGGTGGCCCCAGCTCCCCCCTTTCATCTCCGGCCTCACGGAGGGCCTCTTGCTGAACCCGCCAGGCTAAGAACCAGCCACTGGTGAGGGGGGTGTGATGAGGGTTTGCAGAGGTGCCTGCTGAGCAGATCCTTGCACTCTGAACTCTGGCTAATTTCTGTTCCTTAGTGAGGGCAGACAGCTCTGCTGGGGTTAACAGCAGCATATTGTGCCCTCTCTCCCTCTCCCCTTTGCATAACTCCTGTTCACTTCACCTTCCCATTCCCTTCCAGCTGCAGTTGGTCTTCAGTCCCCAGTGCATGCCCCCCACCTCCTGGTTACCTAACAGCCTCCCCGCATGCTTCATCTCACTGGCCCCCTGGACTTTTATGATCAGGGGCCCTGTCTTTCCTTAACACACTTCTTTTTAGGTTTTTAAGAGACTGCTTTTTCTAGGTCATCTTCTTATTTTTCCTGCTCCTTCTCAGTCCTTCATGGCCTCTGTTTCTTGACTTGATCCTTCCCTAGGGATGTTCTTAGAGCTCCCTCCTTTTCCATCCTCTCCTCTCCCTCTGTGACTCTTGTCCATTGACAACATTCTTCTCCATAGGGGAATCCGTGACCGACAGACCTGGGTCTGCAAATCTCGCATGTCCACCTGCCAACCGGGATCTTTCCTCACATATTCCACAGACCCCTCAAGCTGGAACCTGTCATCTTTCTTGCCAACTTTTTTAACAGCTTTTTTGAGATGTAATTGACATACCATAAAATTAACCCTTTTCAAGTATATAATTTAATGATTTTTTTAGTAAATTTATGGAGTTGTATACCCATCACACAACCTAGTTTTACATTTCCATCATCCGGCCTCCAGCCCCAGGCAATCACTGATCTGGTTTCTGTCTATAAATTTATCTTTTTGTCTTTTCTGGGCATTTTACATTATATAAGTGGAATAATACATTATATGGTCTTCTGTGCTGGGTGTGTTTCACCGGGCATGTGTTTGAGGTTTGTCCATGTTGTAGAATGTGTCAGTGTTTTGTCCCTTTTAAATTCTGATTGGTATCCTATTATATGAATATGCCACAATTTGTGTATTCAGTCACCTGTTGGGGACATTAGGATTGTTTACAGTTTTGGCTTTTACAACTAATGCTTCTATGAACATTGGTGTCTTAAGTCCTTGTGAGGATACATGTTTTCCATCTGTTAGGTAGCTGCGTAGGGGTTGGAATTGCTGGGCCTTAAGGTATTTTTGTTTAAGAAACTGTTAAACTTGTCCAGGGGAGCTGTGCCATTTTACATCCCCAGTAATGTATGAAGGTTCCAGCTTCTCTGTATCCTTACCAACACTTGCTCTCTATTGTTTTTATTACAGCCATTTAAGGGGTATGTAGTGATGTGTCATAGTTTTGATTTGTCTTTGCCTGATGACTAATGATGGTGAGCCCTTTTTCATGTGCTCATTACCTCTTCCATGTCTTATTTGGTGAATACCTACTCAAGTCTTTTGCTCATTCCCCCCACCCCCTGCCACTTCCCATGCTTTTTTTTTAAAAGAGCAACTTTTTAAAAATATAATTCACATGCCATACATTTTATCCACTTAAAACATACAGTTCAGTGACCTATTACATTTCATAAGGTTGTGTAGCCTTCACCCCAGTCAATTTGAGAACATTTTTATCACCCCAAAAGAGACTGCATGCCCATTACCCGTCACTCCCCATTCGCCACCAATCCTTCCAGTCTTAGACAACCACTCATGCACTTTTTGTCCATGTGATTTTGCCAATTCTAGACATTTCATGTAAATGGAACTGTGCAATATGTAGTCTCTTTGTGACTGGCTTATTTCAGGGTTCATCCATGTAGCATAAATCAGTACTTCATTTCTTTTCACTGCTGAATCATAGTGCATTGTATGATATGGGGAGTACCACATTTTATTTACCCATTTATCAGATGGACATTTGGATTGTTTCTACTTTTTGACTCTTGTGAATGATGCTACTGTAAACATTCATGCACAGCTTGCTCTTTTATTCCCCCATTGATGAAGGTTAAAAGATATTTAAATTCTGTGAGCCATTAGTGTGGCGCACTGGCTAGACTTCAGGTCACCGAATGGTGAGTAGAAGTGGTGAGGGGCGTCTTACCTTGTTCCCAGTGTTGAAGGGCGGGGAGTGCACAGGACCACCTCTTTCTGTCTTAGCATCTTCCTTCCACATGTCTGTCACCTCAGCCAGGTACCTGGACCTCATCTCGGACTGGCCCCCCACTGAGGCCTGCCTGCTTGGGTCTACCCCTGGGTGCTCTGTTCCTTAGCATCTGCCATGTTTTGGTCTCCTCCCTTTTGCACACTGTCCACTTTTTACAGTACTCGTCCAGGTCATCTCTTGTCCCCGCTCCACCTGCAGGTGGTGTCCTCACATATTTCATGGTTGTTAGAGGGCTCTTTCTAAAACACATTCTTTCTCTGATTAAAGCTCTTAGTGACCCCATCTTGTCTTCATGGCAAAGTCCAGTCCCCTTAAGCTGTCATCAGTTGCCTTCGGGTGACCTGGCTCCCTTCCATCTCCCTGGCTCACCCTTTACCATCCGCCCTGCTAGCTCTTGAGAGGGCCGCCTCCTCCCACCTGTGCGTGTGCCTCTGTCCATCCCACTGTCTGGAGTCTTTTTTGCTTTTTGGACTCCTACTCATGTGTCTGTTCATTTCCTCAGCACATGTGTCCTGATCATCTGCTCTGGGCCAGGCGCTTTGCTGGGTGCTGGGGATACCATGCTGCCAACGTGCCCACTTCTGTGGTGCTCAGAGCCTCGTGAGGGAGACAGTTAGACGAGCGCTGAGAATAAACTGTAAAGATCAGCTTTGAGTAGGATTTACAGGGCCATCCTGGAAGCCTCCCTGTTGCTCTTACCTCTGGAGTCCTCCGCGTGCCCCTTCGTGCAGCTGTCAACGCTTACCACCCTCCACAAGGACAGTTCCCAGCCTCATCTGCTCCCTTTTCCACTCTGCGCACCTGAGGTCAGGGCTCATGTCTGTTTCTCACCTTTGTATCCTCAGGTGCAGGCACAGGCCTCGCGGGCTTGTTTGGTGACAGAGCGGGTGGGGGAATGAATGGTTTGTTACTTCCATGCACCCATGAAACTTGTGACCTGTCTCTCTCTTCAGACGGATCCTTCTGATGTCTCAGTTCTGCTTCTTGCTCTGATCTCCAGGTCTCTGTCCTCCTGGGTGAGCCGTTTTTCACCACCAGCCTGTTGCCATGGCACAACCTGTACTTCTGGTATGTGCGGACTGCCGTGGACCAGCACCTGGAGCCTGGGGCCGCGGTGATGCCACAGGCTGCCTCGCTGCACGCTGTGGTTGTGGAGTTCAGGGTAGGCCACCCAGAGGTTTTTGCGGAAGGGGTGGGGTACCTTGTTTTCTTGCAAAGACCGGAGGTGTCAATGGAGGTCCTCAGGTCTTTGTGATTTGGCCTCTCCTTTTTTGTTCAGCACACTGCAGTGTTGAACAGAAGAGGCTTGTCTTTTTAAAAACACAGTAATTTGACATATGAAATGGAATTCGCTGTGTGTTGTCATTTTACAATATGGCTTATCAGAATAATTAAAATGCATGAAATAGGAGTTTCAGGAGACATGCTGTGCCACTCGCTCTGCTCTCAAGAAGAGGCGAGGTTCCACTTGTTAAAAGCATTTTGAGATGAGAGAGTCACCTTCTTTATGGGAGAAAGCATTGAAAAGCTTCATTTTAATTTTCTCGTCAAAGCAGAACCACAGTCACAAAGTCATTTTGGGAAAGGTATTTTTTTATTAAAAGGATTTTGAAATGCTTTTAACCTGAAATGTAGAGTGAACCTCATTTGATATTTCTTTGATAAGAATGGCTCTGTCCATTGGGAGCTTAGTGGCTCCATCACTTATTTTCTGGGCATTTCTTCTGTGTTATTTGTTTACCTGATGAAATTTCCACATGAATTCTGGTTTTCATGGCCAGCGAAGGAAATGTGGAGACTGACACCCATTTCCAGGCAAAAGTCCAGGAGAGAGAGGGCGCAAAGGTGACCAGCCCTAGTGCTTCCAGGCCCCTCCCATCGTCCTCACGGTCTGTTTCTGGGTAAAGAGCCTTGATAGCTGGTTTATAGATTTCTTCCTAAAGAAAATGGTGTTCAGGATGGACAGAGAGCAAGGAACCCAGCCCAGTAGCTCTGGACAGTTGTCCCCTTGTGGAAGAGGACTTAGGGTCATGTGAGACTGGGCAGAATCAGAGCTGAATTTTTGGTATCTCTGAGTCCCTTCAGCCTTGGAGGTCTCTTCTAGGCGTGTGAAAAAGGCGAGATGTGCCTGAGGTTTGGGGCTGGATCACCCCCGCTTGAACTCAGTGACCCTTCTCGATCTTGTTGCCACACTTCCCCATGGCTCCGGCTGGGCGTGGACATCAGGGTGCCCCGGCAGGTGGGTGTCAGCCAAGGCCCTGCCTTCCTCACAGGACCTGTGGCGGATCCGGAGCCCCTGTGGCGACTGTGAAGGCTTCGACGTGCACGCCATGGACGACATGATTCAGGTAGGCGGGGCCACGGCTCCCCCCACCGTGCCCCTCCCACCGCTGCCCCTCACCACCGGCCTCTGACTGGGACTTCTCACTCCTGTGGGGCACATGGGCCGGGCAGTGTGAGCGGTGTGCAGAGATCTCTTCTGCTGGGGGCAGAGAGGGCAGGTGGAGCTGTTCCACTTCGTTCACCATGAGCATGAGCATGAGAACCGTTGTGTCTCGGAGTCTAGTCAAAGGCCCTTCCGTTCTTGGCCCTGGGCTGTATGTAACCCCTGAATCAGAATCTCAGGCTCGGGTCTGTCACCGTGCCACTGGAACTGTTCCTGCCACTGTCAGCTGCTTGTTCTCTGTTGGGACACCCTTTCTAGAAGGCAGTTTGGTAACCTTCTGAGCCAGCCATTTTCATTTTGGGGACCCCAGTCCTGGGGAGGGGCTAGAGCACGTGGATGGATGTGAGAGGAGGGTCCTGCAGGGCTCTTTGTACGCCTTTAGGGGACTGAGTCAGCACTGGGCTCTGCGTCCTCCAGAATCCAGGGGGTTCGTGAAAGTGCCAGTTGTACTGGATCTACGAGGACTGAAGTAAAGAGCCATGATAGGTCCATGCCAGTGGGCAGGGCAAGCAACATATTCCTATCTATGTATTAAGAAAATTCACACATACACACAGGGGAAGGGGTGGAATAGTAGATACCAAAACCTTGTGTGGTAAATGGGTTTTTTTTTTCCTCCTGCTTATTTTTCTGTTCACATTCTTCTATAATGATTGTGGATTGCTCCTGTAAGCTTTTTTTTTTTAAGAATAAATCCAGCAGATACTTTTGGTTTGCATTTTCCTTGCCCCTGCACAGCTGACCGCTTACTGTTCCATGCTCCCAGAAATCGCCTCTGTGCTGAGTCTCACGCACTCTCCGTCAGGCTCCTCCTTGGCCTCTCCCATCCTTCCCATCCCATAGAGTGCCATGTGTTCTAGGTCGCCCGCAGGCCCCTGTCCTTTCTGTCCCCTGTCCCCTCTCTGTTGCTGGCTAATGTTTGCATCTGTCCTGAGCTCAGACCAAATAGCTAAGAGCAGTGGACTCTCCACTGAGATGCCTTCAGGCGCTTTGACCTTGATGCTTACAAAATCCATGTGCTCTTCCCCCACCCCCAGCCTGGCTTCTTCCAGGGCTCTCATCTCAGGCCTCCACTGCATCATACCCAGATGCTGGGCATCCTCCTGGGCAAATCCTCCCCTGCACTCAGTTGCTCATCAGGTCCCATAACCATCAGGTCATCAGCGAGCCTCAAATCCAGTTTTCTTTCTCTGCCAGTGTGTTCTGGTTTCCGCCAGTTCGTCTCTCGCCTGTGACCACGCAGCTTCCTGCATCTTCCGCTCAGCCGTCCTCCACACGGTGCTCAAACAGACCTGTAGATGCTGAGTCCAGACCTGTCCATCCCTGCTGGGAAAACCCTGCGAGGCTCCCTGCCCCGCTCTCCCCATCCCCCGCAGAGTCACTGACCCCTGCTGCTGGGCCCTCTCCTTGCTCAGCTTTGTCCACTGTCCTTTCTGCTGCCAACTGCTGTGTGACTTTTAGGAGGCAGCCCAGAGGCCATCCCTCCAGGCAGCATTTTTGCCCAACCCTGTCTGCAGAAGGTCAGCGCTCCTCAGGGACCATGGTTGCTTGTCTCTGCGTTCTCTCTAGACTGGGATCCCCACATCGGGGTGACCTGTCAGCTGTAGCACTCAGTCAGAGTCACCGAATGGGACAGTGTCCAAGCACCAGCTATTGTCATCAGTGTAGACATTTGGTGAGGTGGGCAGCACCATCCCATTTTAAAAAGGGAGAAAATAAGGCTTAGAAAGGTGGGGTGACTTGCTCAGGAGACGGCTCATGAATGGCAGCAGGGAACAGAAGCCAGTGCTCTGTGAGGACCTGCTGCCCCATGTGACTGGCAGTTATCCTGAGGGACCTGGGCCATGGAGGTGAGGGGCCACTGGCTTAGAGCCTGGAGACAAGGACATGGGCTCCTTGTCCCCTGGGCATCCTGCCTCTGTCTCTGCAGACCCCCACATATCTTTCCCTTCTCAGCGTGCCCTGGACTTCAGGGAAAGCAAGGAGGCTGAGCCCCACCCGCTGTGGGAGTACCCCTGCCGCAGCCTCTCCGAGCCCCAGCACCTCCTGACCTTTGATTTTCAGCAGCCAGTCCCTTCACAGCCTCTCCGCGCTGAGGGTGCCATCGAGCTGAGGAGGTGAGTATTGGCTCCTGGCGGGGAGTCTTGGAGGAAGGAGGTGGGTGGAGGTGAGGTGCCTGCTTTCTGTCTCGTAGGTACTGCCTATGTGGTTAACCACTTATTTGGCCACTTTCACGTGGGTATGATGGCTTTCCTTGTCTCGGCCTTGCTCTTCTTGGTCTAAAGGGCCCTGAGTGTATAGAGGGTCCCCACAGCCTCTGGGTGTGTGTGAGCAGGGAGGCAGATCCAGAGTGGGCTTCGCTCTTCCCCCCACGATCCGAGGCTCCCTTTGAGCTAAGTAGCTTGTTGGATCACAGCTGCAGAGAAATGTGAGTTTGGTTGCTATGGTTACCCATTGGACCATTTTTCTCCTGGGAATTATAGCAGGTTGGGAATTGGCAAGGGCGCTCATTGTGAGGCACAGCCAGGCCCACCCAGCTACAGCTCCCTTTATGGGGAGGAAATGCTGAGCCCAGAGCCCTTTGGGGGGTCCCCTGACAAGGTGCCATCCAGGGAGGCAGGGAGGGGTCTTCCAGCATTCGGCGCCAGGGCTGTGCTCTGAGCCTTCTGGACCAAGCCTGCCCGTGACCTGAGACGGAGGAGGCTGGTCCTGTTGCCGACCTGGCCCTGCCGCACGGGTTACTCCGAGTGCTTGGCCAGGCTATGAGGAGTGAGTGGGGGCTTTGATTGGTGGTGGCTTTTCTTGCTCAGCATTTTACTGAGGGGCCTTTAGTCAGGAGGAGTGTTAGGAGCCACCTGCCTGGGCTGGGTGGAAGTGGGGAAGACCAGAGGTTTCCGCAAAGCAGAGGGGAGCCATGGCCATGCCCACCCATCTGTCACGGTGCTATCTCTGATTGGCCTAACATCCCACTTCCCCCAGGCCTGGGAGGAGCCATGGGGCTGTCCTGTGGATGGAGTACCGCCTGACCCCGGCCAGCACGGTCAGCACCGGCCTCCTGAAGCCTGTGGGGGACCAGGTATTGCTGTGCGCATGGGTGCCAGAGCTGGCTGGCCCTGCGAGCAGGTCCTGTTGTTGGGGGAGGTTGCACCACCAGCGTGCTCTGGGTATTCCTGGCACATGTTCAGCCAGATGGGAACCCCTCCATGTCCCCGGGTACCCGGCTCTGAGCAGCAGCTTCCCCATACGAGCTTCCTGCGGGGGAGGTTGGCCAGCAGAGGGCTCAGCTACCGGCAGCCCTCAGCGCCTTCTGCCGCTCCTCCTGCAGGGCGACTGCTGCTGGAACCCACACTGCAGGCAGGCCGTGTACTTCTTCCCTGCGACGCGGGCCCCCGGAGCACCCCCCGGCGGCCCTCGGACCGTCAGCTATGTTGTGGAGTTCCACCCCCGCACTGGAGATGTCACCATGGATTTCATACCCTCAGATACCCTGGATGGTGGGCGCTGACCCTCACTTGTTAAGAAATAAAGTGGCTCAAGAGGCTCCGGGCTCTGAATGGCGTGGCTTTCTGGGGAGGAGGGTGAAGGTGCCTCCTTTCAGGGCCCCGCTCAATCCCTCGGTGTGGAGACCTCTTCCCTTTTTGCATTTTTGCACTGCTGACTCCTCGCCCCAGGTGTGGCAGGCAGCATGGGCTGCTGGCTGCATTTGGAGCCAAGGAGGGGCCAGGGAGCCCACCCTGCAGTGGTTCGGGTAGTCTCAGGAAGCTCTGAGGCTTCCGAACCACTTCTCTGGGCCTCATGGTGCTGAGGCGGCTGGGCTGCCTGTGGTGGTCGCCAGCCTGGCCTGTGCACTAAGAACTTCTGCCTGGCTCTAGCTGGGAGGGGCTTCCAGGGGCCACAGTGCTGACCTGTGGCTGGGCCCCGGGCCTTTGGGACCTTAGCAGGGCCGAGCTGAGGACTGGGTTCTGGCCCTTTCACTTGATGGGTAATGTCACCAAGCCACATTCCTAAGCATCTGGCCTCAGTGTGTAGCACCAGCAGGTGACCAAGACCTGACAACGGACACCAGGCTGCTGTTCAGGAGACGGGGAGGAGGCAGTTCCTGAGATGCAGACCCAGGGAACCAGCTGCAGGAGAGGGAGCAGGAGGTATAGCCCGCTCCCGTGTGCCCCTGTTCTGGCACAAGGACCTCCCACCACCTCTGAGGGAGGCAGACGCGCACACTGCGTCTCTTCCTCTCCACCCCCCTCCACTCAAGGTGCCCTTCTGCTGTTTGCTTCCAGTTCCAGAGGGAATGAGGGGACAATGATAAGAAAACTTAGGTGTTCCGGTTTTCAGGCGGCTCAAGACAGACACAGGCTGTGCCTGTTGTGCGGGGGAGGCAGGGAGGCAGGCCCCCCATAGCCCCCTCTGGCCGCCCAGCCCCAGGGTCGGAGTCGGAGCAGGGCCCAGCCCCACCTTCTCGCTCAAATAAGTGGAGAACATCAGCCTTGAGCCTCACAGTTTTATTTTCTCCTCATGATCTATCTTTCCTTTCAGCACCAGTAAAGGAGAAAAACACCTCTCTTCAAAATATTTTATCAGGTGAAAGATTGTTTTTCTTCTAGGGAAGAATCGTCTGTATAGATATTTGATAATGTTTTTACCAAAACCTTAGGTGTGCTTACCATATAAAACCCCTAATGTCCCATGAGGATACAATACAGAAAAAAATACAGAAATTAAAAAAGTTTTTTTTCCTTTTTAAAACAGTATTTCTAAATTTCAGCAAGTTAATACAATAGTTAAAAAGCATCAAGATTAATATTCATACTTAAAACTCAAGGTGGTTTGGACAAATGAAAATGACCGTTTCCTTCCAAAGCTCACCCTGCCTCCTGGCTTCTCTGGAGGAGGCCGGGCCTGGGGCAGGTGCGGGACCTCAGCTGGGGATTTGGGTGACCCCTGTGTCCGCTCCACCCAGGCCAAACACCACAGAATATCCTGGCGTTGTTTCTTTTCTTGCCTTTTTAAAAATTAAAATGGAAAAATCTGGCTTGTGTGTGGCCCCGGGAGCCCACAGGCTTCATGAAACATGTGGTTGGGCGATGGCAGCGTCGGTGCTGAGGCCGCGCGGCGGGCGGCGCTGGGGAGCCGGGAGGGCCAGGGCCAGGCTGGGCAAAGGCGACCTCGTTCGGGCAGGGCGTGACCGAGGCACAGGGAGGTATGACTGGCCTGAGGCCGCCCTGTGAGAAGGGAGAGAAGCACGCGCCGCTGTGCTTTGGCTCCCACCCAGCTGCCCTGGGAGGGAGGCAGCCCCTCGGAGGGCGGGGAGCCACGTGGCGTGTCTGCTCCCAGAGCCCTGGCCTGCCTCCACTGCTCTCCCGCGCACACAGCGACCCGCAGCCAGGGGTCCCTGGCTAAGGCCCTGCCGTCTAGGCGTCACACCTGCCCACAGGGGTCCTGCTGTGTGAGTGAAGATTCCTGGCTGCTCCTAAGGGTTGGGGGGCCTTTTGACCCCACAAAGCCTGGTTACGACCCTGACGACCAGGCCCTTGGAGGAGGGGCACAGGAGAGCCCAGGTGGGACTGTGCCCTCAGCGGTGGGCAGCCCCTCCTGGCTCTGGACCCCCAGGGGCAGGGCTGGGGAGGTGGTGAAGCCCTCAGCTCTGCCATCACTCTGGCCAGGCGGGTTCAGGCAAACCAGTGCCACTGTGGATATGGCTCTCAAGAGGGTCCTCTCCCAGCGCAGGACCTGACCTCTGGCTGGCTGCTTGGGACCCCTCTGGGTCCCTCTTGCAGCTCAGTGGGTGACAAGGCACAGCGTCAGCGCGCCCACACCAGAAGGTCCTGGTATGCTCCCCGGCCTCGCTGGGCAGAGCTGGCTTCCAGCCAGCTGGGCACGCGTGGGCCAGGGTGCTGCGAGGAGGAGAGACCAGTGGGGGTTGTCAAGAACAGCCCGCCAAGTTGGGGGAGCCTCGTACCTGGAAGCAGACACAGGCTTCCCGTGTGACTGTAGGGAGCATCCCAGGTGTGCTTAGAAAGGCAGGTGGGCAGAGGCAGCACTGCCGTGGGGCGGCGAGCTGCGGCCCTCGCCTACAGGCTCCGCCACCCTGTGCCTGGACGCCACCAGTACCATCCTTACCCTGTGCAAGCAGTGTCCCTGACCTTGCCACCCCCAGCCTGCACACTGGTTAGGGTGAGGCGACAGGCCTTTCTCTGCACTTTGGCTTCCCACCCCTTTGTCCAGGCCCCCTTTCAGGGTCCAGGGTTGATTCTGAGGTTGGGTCTGGGAGGACAGAGCTACAGCTCTACCCAGAGACAGGCGGACAGTTCCTGAGCTCAGCCGGCATGTGGATGGGGACAGTCCCCAGGGAAGGATTGGTCCCAAACCAGAGAGGTGTCCGGAGGGTAGACAGGATCAGGCAGAAAGAGGAGGTGTTGGTTTTGGCAGAAGAGAAGCTACAAATCTATCATTTTCAAAACCAGCAGCTCCCTTTCCCCTTTATCCTTGAGTTCCCCTCTTCCTGTAGAAAAGTGTCGTTCTCTCCTTGGCTCCCAGGCTGTGGCTCCATGGCGGAGTCTCTGGGGCCCTGGTACGCCGGGGAGGGGGCCTGTCTCAGGAAGAGCAGTGTCCTCCCTCGTGGTTTGCAGACCCTCTAAAATGAGGGGTTGCTTCTGTTCTTAACTTTTCCTGCTTTTCTTTTTAAAATGTAATTGCCCTTGAATGCAAGACCCTGGGAAGAGCCTGGGCTCGCGGCGACTGGACACAGCCCTCACGGTCCCTGCTCATGAGGAGCCCCAGCTGGAGGCAGCGAGCCGGCGGCCCTGTGCCCAGGAATGCTTCTTTGGCTGGTTCTAATTGTGTTTGGAGTTTGGCCTTGGGTGAGGCCCGAGCGAGGGGTCTGTGTGGCTACGGCGTGGCACATGGCATGCAGGCAGCGCGCATGCGAGGGTGCAGGCATGCGAGACAACATGGCAGCAGACAAAAATAATGAACCCTGGACAAAGCTTGAGAAGAGATACAAAGAGTACAGAAACCCGGTTCTCATACTAACCCACGGGTTACAAACTAGGTTGTGCTGTAGATCTGTAGAAAATCACGTTTTGAAAGAATGGCACTGGTGGGGCAGCCGGGGCTCCTCGGGCCGGCCTGACTCCTCCGTCTGCAATGAGCGCCCAGAGGTGCAGGGCAGCGCTGGTTCCAGCTCGCCTGGGGATGACCTCTGCTCCCCCAGGCCCCTGCCTTCTCCCCGGCACTGTTGCTGAAGGGGACATGGCCAGGGAGCGTCTTCAGCTCAGAGGGCTAGCAGAGGCCAGGCAGCTGTGATGGCTGGGCGGGTCTATGCCTCCTCCTCCCCCGAAGACACCATCAACCGCATGGCCACCGGGAGGTGGTCGGTTAGGCCGGACAGCTGGGTGATAAAACTGAATTCTTCCACCTCCTGGGGTTGGGGGAAGAGAAACATCCTGATTAGACCCAAAGGACACCTTGCAAAGGAGGGGTCTGGGGAGCAGGGGTGGCTCCTGGGCTGGGGCTGGCCTGGTCTTCCTCAGGGCAGAGGGGTGGGAGGACCCTGAGGGCCCCAAAGGCCTCCGTCGGGCAGGTCTCGCTTTCAGAGGAATGCTCAGTGCTGTGGAGGCGCATGGGGCTCGGGGTCCCCTACCTACAGGCATGTCCTGGCTGCCCGGTCCCAGACTCACAGCTTTCCAGTCCGGGCACAGCCCCTCCTCCGCATACAGCATGTAGTCGATGCGTCTGCCATTGCCCTTCAGCATGTCCTTGCGTCCCTTCTGGCATGCACCTGGGTTCTTGCTGCGGGGGAAGGCGAGGTACTCCCGGCGCCCCTCCTCACTCTCCAAGACCCTGGCACGCAGACAGGAAGGCAAGGTGAGCCCCTGCCCCTGCCCCCAGGCCCCGGGCCCCGAGTGGAGCCAGGTTCTCATCCCTGAGAGAAGCAGTTCAGATCAAACCCCTGTGTTTAACATCTGTTTTTCCAGAAGGGGCTGGGGTGGAGGGAAACTGAGTCTGAGGCTGTGAGTTCTTGACTGAGTTAGGCCACTCCACAGCCTAACCTGGAAGGTCCCGTGCCCTCCTTGGGCCGGCCAGCACGCACTTCCCTCTCTGAACTGGGACTTGGGCTGTGGCTACAGCTTGGACCCTGTGCTGCCTAGAGACTGTGCCCGAGTCGAGGACAGACCTTCCCGTCCCCAATTCACATCAGGGTGCTGCTCTGATCAATAGGGTCCTGTTGGGGGAACTTGGTCTTTTCAGTGCCTCGCAGGGACCCTTCTCTTCTGGAAGTCCCCAGAACCACCATGACTCTTGTTTCAGGTCAGCAGGGGGCAGGAGGCAAGGAGAACACCCAGGTCCTATCCCAGGACTGGGCTCTTGTGTCAGGCTGTCCCTGAGCGGCTGTGCCAAACCTCTGAGCCTCCATTTCCTCCTCTGATACTAGAATGATTGCTCTGGGCCCCAGGACGCTTTGAGGACCAGGCGTGCCAGGAAAGGAACAACATGGCATGTGACTGTCATTTATTCTTCAGAGGAAGGAAACTGACGTGGCTGCTCAAGTGTTCCTCAAGGTTCTACAGGGAGGCCAGGGTGCTCAGGTGGGGTGTCACACCCCGGGACCCGGTCTTCTGACTCCCTGTCTGCCATCTCCCTCCTGCCAGGGTTCCTGCGGAGTCAGCACCAGTGGGGAGGAGCCTTTGTGACAGACTGGTGGAGGGCGCAGGCGCAGGCCGATGCTGGGGGCAGTCGCAGCCACTGAGAGAGCCTGGGCAGGTGGAAGGGGCGCCAATGTGTGTTTCTACAAGGTCTTTATGAGCCTTGAGATAAATACACTAATGAATGCAGAACATCAGTACATCTCAGAAATATAATCCATTACTGTCCTTTGCCTTTGATAATTAATTCCAGCATCAGTGATCTGAGAGTTACTGATAGTCATTTTTTAATCATTATCTCATAAAAAGATAATTTTCTCAGCATAGCATGATGTTTCAAATTTAGTCTGTAATCTAATTAATTGGCTCAAATTAGCTGCAAGGAGCCATTGCTGTGACTGTGCAGTCTCGGGCTGTGAATTATAAATTGGTTCTGCTGCTAGTTTCTCAGATGGGTCCTTTATGGAAGTGCCACTGTGTTCAAGAATGAAGTTTGGTTGGAATGGAGCTGGTTCTGCTTTGAAAATGACTTGCTTATGTTAGCTCTGCTTGTACTTGTATTTGCCTAATGGGTGACTACCAGCCGCCAGGCTCCCCAGAGCAGACGCCATCCCCCGGGCTCTTTGGCAGCCTTCAGCCTCGCTCTAAAGATTCTAGCCCCTTTTGCTGTGCCCAGCAGGGCCCCAAGGCAGGCTAGGGCTCAGGCCTGGGCAGGTTCTTGTAGAGTGAGTCACAACCCCAGGTACTAGGAAATGCCACCTCAGGACCCGTGGTCTACTTGGGGGCTTCTCCTTTGTAAGGCCAACTACTGGGGCGCGAAGGCTTCAGGCCCCCACGTGCCCCCACTTCTGTCCCTGAAGCTCCCACAGGCTTCCTTCTCAGGGGCCTGGCTCTCCTCTGCCCCGAAAACAGCCACCTCCCTGCAGCCGAGTCGGGGCTGGGCGCTCAGCCCAGAGCCGGGAGCTGCCTGCCCCACCACAGCGGGTGCTTACTTCTGTAGATTCTCCGGGGTGCTCACGTCCTCATCGTGGAGGCCATCCGTGTCCAGCAAGGTACCTGGGGACGAGGGGGTGAGTGCGGTCATTGCAGGTGGCACCCTGCCAGCCTCGAGGATGGCTGTCTCCCTGGGGCAGGTGGGGGCGGGTGGGCTCAGGCATCCGCTGGCCTGGGTGTTCCGGCTGCCCCAGCACTGGGGTCTTGGGAGCAAGTCCTGGAGGTCCCTGTGGGGAGCCCAGCCTTGGTGCAGCATCGGATCTGAGCATGTTGGGCTCAGAACTTGGCAGTGCCCTCCCCTGCCCCAGGCCCCCTCTCCCCACAATCCCCTGTCCCCTGCCCCAGCTCACCAATCGCCCATGGCTTCTCCTCCCCAGGCCCCAGGCGGCAGGGGTCCTTGTAGCGTGTAAACAGGGAGTGCTGCTGCTCCAGCTTGTCATCTGCGCGGGGGAGGGACAGAAGCAGTGCTGTGGGTGTCAGGGTCTGGCCTGTCCCGGGGGGCTGCCTGCCTCTGGTCCTGGTCCAGATGCTACCAGGTTCCTGTCCCTCAGGTATCCCTCTGGATGGGGTCTGTGATTCATTTGTCACTGGTTTTCTGTGTCCTTGAGAATCCCCTCCCAGCCTCCCCCGCTCGCCGTATCCAGCTCTCCTTTGGTCTGAGGACAGTAATCCTGAGGCCTTGCCAGGTCCTGTGGCAAACCATGGGGGGTGGGGGGGGGTGGGGGGGGGGTGGCTGCCGTTTTGCCTCAGCTGGAACTTCTGCCCTTTGCAGACCTGAGCGAGGAGTGACTCCATGAGGCTCAGAAAGGAAGGTGACCTGCCCTGGGTTCCAGTTTGTCCTGCTAATTCTCAAAACCAGAGGGCCTTTCTGAGACCCCAGGTAGGAAGGGCATGGCACTGAGTGGGGCTCGACTGGATCGAACCCCTCCTGACAGCCCCTTCCTGTATGTGCTGGGTCCCCACCCTGACTCAGGAAGATTCTAGGAACACCCAGGGTTTGGAGCTGGCATCAGGCATGTGACAAAGAGAGGCTGCAGGCCTGCATTTGGGAGGAAGTGTGTTCCATGGTGGGTGCCTTTCTTCCCACAAACTCTTGAGTTGCCACTGTTGTCAAAGGATGCCTCCCTGGTCATGAATAGATAGAAGCACCTGTCACCAGGCGAGGGCACCACCCTGTGCTCCAGGTAGGACCTTAAGGTTTTCTGCCTTCCCTGAGGGCTAGGGCCTGAGCTCACCGACCCCATGTCACCTCATCTCTCCTGGGGCTCGGGCCAGAGTGGGAGGAGCCCAGGAGCCACAGGTCCAGCCAGCTTCTCGGGCCAAGGGAGGCTCAGAGCTGCCCGAACGCCCAGGAGGTCCCTGGGATGCGCATGATCATCTGACTCATGATCAGTTATTTAGATCATGAAATAACTATTTGAAATTTCACCGATGATGAACTTTTAGTTTTTTTAGCCTAATGGCTTAAGGCATGATTTGCAGGGTTCAAGTCCCAGTTCTACCATGTTACTGGTTGTGTGACCTTGGACTCATTAGTTACTCCACCTCCCTGGGTCTCGGCTTCCTCTTCCATATGACGCGGATAAATACAGTGCCCATTCTTAGGGTTGTTACAAGACTTAAATGACACAGTTGGCCCATGAAAGCCATTAGAATTGTGCCTGGTGCAAAGTAACAGCTGAATAGACTTGGTGAGTGGTATTAGCTGACTTAGTCTGAGTTTCAGGGGCTCCAAGCCGTCCCTGTCACAGGTTTGTTTTTAGGGCACCTTTTTGTCTCTGGCAAGGAGGCCTCTGAGCTTTCTAGGCAGAGCGTGGGTGCTTCTCATTCTAAGATTTCTAGGGGGCAGAGAAGTCATAGTCTTGCTAATATCCCACCCACATGCTCACAAGGAGCAGGAAGTTCTTCACGCTGCCAGCTCTGACTGGAGCCCCCGCCCTCCCCCTGCAGATGACCTGAATGGGGAGGAGCCTGGCCTCACCTGAGGAGCAGTTGTCAAAGTTCAGATCCCCACAGACAATGTCAAACGCCACCAGCTCCTCGGGGTTGGCTGTGCTGGACGAGGAGGTAGATTTTCGGAAATCAGCCAGCCATTCCAGGAGCATGTCCAGCTGCTCGCACCGGATGGCACTGTCCTCTGCGGGGCAGAACCAGAGACCAGATGATGAAGCTGTAGCCAGACCCCAGCCAGGCCACGGCGGACCCCAGCCTGCTGGGGAAAGATCCCCCACCCTCAGAAAAGTGAAGGCCGCCAGACCCTACCTTCCAGGGCATGCAGGTGTGTGCAGGTGATGTACCCGACAATTCTTTGGTCCTGAGGTGTGCTTCCCACCTGCACCTGTGGAGTAGGAGGTGATGTGTCAGTAAAGAAGCCTGTAAGTTGTCATTGCTCTGAGCACAAAGGGACACTGGCAGCACTGACTGCCTACCAGGTCAGACCAGCACGGGTCTAGCTTTGTTGGCGTCTGGCTAGACTTGGGAACAGGTAGGAACAGCACACGTCTTGCTTCCAGGAGCTTCTGGTTTAGTACAAGAGGCAGATGCATGAAGAAATGCCAGCCTCTTGTACAGCGCGTGCCCCCTAGGCAGTCACGTCAGGTTTTACGGAACAAATGCAGAAATAATCGCAGATTTCCAGCCCACACCCCTGCCATCCCCCGGGGACCAGAGCCTGCCAGCCCCCCAGTTCCTTGTTCACCCCTGTCTGGTGGCTCTGCCCTCTTGTCCGTAGTTATACCCTAGATTTGATCATGCCCCACAGCCCATTCCTCTGAAGTCTAAGCCAGGCTCCTTGGGGATTCAGCCCAACTGCAAAGCTTGACATGCTCTCTCCAGAGACTTCACATCCTGCTTTCCACTCTCCCCAGTCTGTGCCTCTCTGGCTTCTTGAGAAGTCACGTCATCTGCTCTTTGGACATGGTCCCTGTTAGCCTGTGTCTCTGTGGCATCTGTGTCACTGGCTGGCCCCAGGTGCCTCACAGCCTGCACCCCAATCCAGTGCTTCTTCCACACCAGCTTCTTCATGCTCCACTCCCCGAAGGCCTCAGTCCTTGCCTCCCATCCACCTCCTTCCCCAAAGATGGAGGACCTGGGGCTGGAGTAGGGCCGGGGCACCTCCCCGGCTCCATGCCCGACTGCACATGACCCCGGCAGGCTGTCTCCACAGGCAGGCGTAATGAAAACAAACACTTCAATCATACATTACAGACGACTCCACGTGGTCCTCAGTGGTGACCCTGATGCAAGCCTGAGCCCTTGATAGGGGCTGTGCTGTCTCCCCAGGCCCTTGGTGCGGCACCCCAGGACCACCCGCAGGCACCTTTGCCCAGAGGCCGCTGGCTGACCCCTCTCGCTCCTCCTCTCTGGGCTTTCCTCCTGCCTGAGCTTGGGCTGTCTTCCCCAAAGTTCACCCATCCATTCCAAACTGGCCTTTCTATGATGACGAGACCCTAGACCCTGGAAACTGTCCAAGAAAGGTGACTGTAGAGGCCAGGTCTACAGGTGGTGCAGCAGCAGGGTTGGGGCACCTGGCATGGACCGAGCACAGCTCTGCCTGTCCTCCAGCGAAGAACGGCCCGAACTAACCACTACCGCCGCCGTGTCATGGGTCTACTCTGAGAGCCTCCGGAGGCTTCCATCCCTGTGCTGCCAAAGTCAGGTTGGCATTCCTCTTCTCCACATGGACTTCCATGTCACCGAACATGCTTAGCTTTCTGCAGCTCCTCATCCCCTTTCCCACTCAAATGGATGTACATCTCTCCTTTCCCAGCGCCTGGCGGGGGACAGATACATGCCTGGTTTCTTGGTAATGAGCCATATGGCCTGGATTTGAGGCTGTCTATAACTCACATGTTCAACGTTCACATTTTGCCTGTATTCCTGACCCAAACCTTGGTCTAACGTTCCCTGCATCCCTGAAACATCTCAAGGAATCACCTACCACAGATGCGCCCTGTTGCAAAAACACAACACAGTTTTAAAGCCGCAATGCCCGTGCAAGGCCACACGGTGGCGCTCTCGCCCCTGCGTATCTCGAGCAATGACTGCCTCTGTCCCCTCCTCAGTCATACTCCCGCTGAGAGCGCCCCCTGCTCAGTGCTTCACGATGCTGCCTTGCTAGAGCCTTATATTTGTGAGGATTAGACTAAAATTATACTGTAATTAGCCGGGGTCACGAAGCTCCAATGGCTGAGGACAGCTCAAATCAATGTTTGCTGCCCCATCCCAGTTTCTCGGAAAGCTCTGTGCTGCCTTCTGAGCTCCTGGTGACTTGGCCAGGCTTTTCACCAGCTGCCCTTTTGGTGGTCGTAGAGTATCATCCCCGACTCCCTCAGCATTTAATGTCATCTGCCTGTGCTGAGTCCTGGGCAGGGACAGGGGACAGGTGCGGAGAGGCACCACTCAACTCTGCCCCTGAGGAGAACCCATCTGGAGGAGGCGCAGGGCAGGCCATCCGGCCTCCCCCTCCGCCCTTCCACCAGGCGTCTCAGCTCCTCACCCACCTCCCGCTCGGTCAGCCTGTCAGTTCCCCGAGATCCACTTGATTATGTGCCCGGCCTTATTGATTTCTGGCTCAAGTCCTCAGGAGCTGCAGAGGCTTGTGTTTCTCTTGCAAAAACAAACAATCACACTGAGAGGTTGTGCCTCTTAATCCTGGTGGGCAAAGACTGTCAATAGAGAGGGGCCCAGAGTCAGGCTCTCTCATACATGAGGCAAAAGCGAGCCTGTCCCTTCCTTCTCAGGCCGTCCTGGCAGCAGGAGAGCACATTTTCCTCAAGGATCAGAAATGCCACAGGGTTGGTCAGGAGGGCAGGGCTGGACAGGGGAACCCTGCCAACGAAGGGAGTGCTGCTTCCACGCGCAGCCAGGGCAGCATGTTTCCAGCCCCGGGCCACCTCCTTGGGCCGGCCTGTCTCCTGAACCCCATTTGTTTCACTTCTCTATGCAGGAGAAACAGGCTCACTCTTGGCAACAAAGATGAGCTGGGTCTGCCTTGTGCCGGGCACAACTGGCTCCACTCTTGAGGGGTTCTGTCTGATGGAAGGGACAGGCGACGAGACTGCTGGGGACAAATGCTGGGGAACCCATGAAGGGAAAGACGGCTTGTGTGGATGGGTGTTGAGGAAAGTTCCACAGAGACGGTGAGGCCAACCCGGGGAGGGGCCGTGACAAGGAGAGCGGGGCTGGAACAGAGTCCTGGTGAGGGTGGAGGGGTCCAGGGGAGGCTGGGCATCTCCCTGAGGCAGCAGGAAAGGGGCAACGGGAGTCAGATCTGAGGCAGGAGGAGGAGGACGAGCTGGAAGAGGAAGACAGTCAAAAACACAGTCGGGCAGATACAGAGGAATGGCAGCCATGATAGTACAGCTGGAGACCTGGGGTGGGGATGGGGGGTCCAGCGGTACCTGGGAAGTGAAATTTGTTACCTGGATGGACTGGATGGGCTCAGGGCACAGGGAGGAGTCAAGATGGGCCCTTCTGGCTGGGGGGTGGTGGAACCTGGAGGAGGGGCAGGGGCAGGGCAGATGATGAGTTCCGTTTGGGAATGAATGGGACTGTGTCCAGGGCAGCCAGACACAGAGCTGGGGGCTCAGGGAAGACACTGGGCTGGGACAAATGTGAGATCGCTCAGTGAGTGTGGAGACGAAGGCTGTGGAGTCACTTTCCTGGGCTCCACGTGCGCGAGCTGGCCACAGGGACCAGGGGAAATGAAGAGCGCTGGCCAAGCGGGGTCTCCGTGCCGTGGGGCTGCCCAGGCCGAGAGCTGGACAGAAGCAGGAGGCCTGGTGCGGCCAGATGTGCCCGGGTCGGAGAGAAGTTTTGTGTGGAATATCTTAATTTTTAAATGTTGCCCAAGCAAGAAATATTTTAACGGTGTGAACCAAATTAGCCATATCTGCAGACCAGTTTTAGACCCAGGAGGGAGAGGGAGGATGGGCATTTAACGGATGGGCAGGCGAGGAGCGCCCTGGGAGGAATGGCCAGAGAGGTGGGAGGAAAGCCCACAGCGGAGGGACTGTCTCAAGGACACTGTGTGACCCCGATGGGCGTGGCAGTTGAGGTGCCGGACTAAGGAGGGAGATGAGGAGGGGGTGTGTGGGCTGGGGCAGCATCGAGGGGTTCCCTGGCCTCTGAGCCTCTGTAGTACAGTGGTTGGGAGGGAGAGGGCACACTCCCCGCTCTCCCTGAGCCTGACAACATGCTCTCCCCTTCCCCAGAAAGTTACTGAGATGAAAATATATCCGTGGAACAGAACACTGATGAACCATATGCCAAAATGGGAAGGTTGGCTCCCTGTAAGAGGAATGCATTCAATTCCAGCATCTGAGGCTATGGAGAGCCGAAGACTCCAGCTCTGGGCCTGCGGAGCCACACAAGAGTCACTGAGCACCTGGAGGAGGGACCTGGGCCCAAGAGGCCGGGCTAGCTCCAGCAGCCTCCATGCAGACAGTGAGCCCAGCCCTCCCTCCCTCCCGGCAGGAGCTTGGCCTGCATACGGCACTTTCCCGGTCGGGCCACCTGCAGTCAGAGCTGGGTCTGGGGGACAAGAGCCTCCCCACACTGCGCTTCCAAATTAGCCACACCGGGGACCCAGGCCTGCCCTCATGCACCTCCTCCTAAGGGGAACGGAGAAGTCAGGAGGGAAATATGGACAGAACCCATACCCACCAGCTGCTGATCCTGGGGGCAGAAAGCCCTGTTCTGTATCAGCTGCACAAACAATGCCTCAGAAAACTCTGGAAGCATTAACAGCGGTTTTTGGATGGAGAATAAGAAGTCGACACTCTGAGCGCTTCAGGCTCAGTAGAAGATAATGAATGATGACCAAATTACCATGGCCTAAAAACTCCCCCAATTGCATCGAAATTAGCAGAAATAATTATGATTCACTTTAATTACTGACTATGGAAGCAAAGCCTTGGGCTGGTGGGCAGAGAGCTGGGCATGGCAGCTGCATGACAGCCAGGAGGGAGAGGGTGTCCCAGCCGTGTGGCTGGTGTGGCAGTGGGCCCAGGACCTGCAGCCATTGGTTTTCATCAGTCTTCCGTCTTATGAATGTCTGCTGTCATAGACAGTGGCATTCTCCATCCCCTGTCACCACCATGCCATCGCTGCCCGGCCACCTTCACCACCAGTACCAGAGAACCCCCCAGGCCTCGCTACTCACGCCCCACTGGGGAGTAGGCTCCACGCTGCCCCCACGTTACATATGGGGAAACGGTGGCTCAGATCTGAGGAACTTGCCCAAGGTCACCCAGCCAGGTCTGTCAGATACTGGAGCCTCGGCTCTTGTCCCTGCATTTTTAGTTCCCTTGTCCCTGAGTTGGTGGCCCTCTGGTTCAGCTCCATGAAAGGTCTCGTCTGCCCATAGACATCCCAGATGGTGAGGACCCCCTGGCTACATCCCAGCTCCCACATGGCCCTGGGCAGCTGGCATGTGCCCAGGCCTCCTACCTTGAGAAACAGCGCTCCCTTCGAGGCCAGGCTGTCAGAGCCCCTCCCATTGGGGTAACAGTGATAGGCCACGTCCATGATGGGGTAGCGGCTGGCAAAGAAGAGGCCACTGTTGAGACACTTGAAGCAACAGCCGCCTTGGCAACAGCAGCAGCCTTGGCAGCCATAGACCCCAACATCATACACGATGTACTCGAAGTAACCATGCAGCTGGTCTTTCAACTTGGTGGCCGCCCGCTTGTCAAACACCTCCTGCAGACACAGGAAGTCCACGTTGGCGGGGAAGAAGGCCGAGATCTCGTGGTCAAAGGCCTCATCTGGGTGCCGCCTCTTGCGCGCGGCTGCCTTCTTCACCACCGAGGCCTTGTGTGGGGCCTTGCTGTAGGTGGCACCTGGATCCCCGCTGCCACCGTCCAGCCCGGCTCGTGCCTTCACCAGGGACTCTCTGGAAGCAGAGGGGCTGCCCAGGCTCCCTGAGTCCCCATCCCGCTGACTGTGGTTGGGCGTCTGGCCCCGTGGACCCCCGCCAGCCCCATTTCTGGCCTGGCCTCCAGGAGCAGGGTCATCAGCTTCAGGGTGCCGGCCCCCCTCATCGCCACTGATGCGCACGATGCAAGCGTTCTCAAGGCTACCACAGTCAACTGAGTCCCCAGAGGCCGGGCCATTGGCAGCCTCGTCACTGGGGTGACGCCCACTGTTGCCTTTGTATTCCACAGAGGCTGTCCTCTTAATGCTCCCAGGGACAGCCCGGGCCATGCCATCACCCTGGGGTGACACCAGGCTGCTGAAGCTGGCCGCGCTGATGGATGTATTGGTGGGCGAGTCGATGTAGATTTTGATCTGGGGCCGGCTGGCCCCATTGCGGATTCTGTGCCCGATCTCTTTGGCCCGTGCTTGGGTGTTGAAAACGTTGTTGAGCCTGGCTAATGAGTCAGGGAGGAGGCAGATGTTGGCGGTGGCGAAGCAGAAGCTTTTGCCAGGACCTGTGCCCTTCCATTCACTGAGCAGGGCTGCCCCTCCGGCCGGGCTCTTGTCTTCCAACCGGGAGTAGACGTAGGGCCTGCGGGCACACTGTAGGGGACACCAGAAGAGGAACCCAAGAAACGCGAAGGGCAGCGAGGTGACCAGGAGGCCCAGGTAGATGGGCATGAACAGCAAGATGCAGAGGAGCTGGCTCTTCTGACATGGGTCAGGTAGGAACAAGGCCAGGAGCCGGTCCAGCAGCCAGTAGCATGGGAAGATGAGGGCCCAGGACACGGCATGCAGGGCAGACAGACAGCTATTGGGAAAGGGGGTCGTGTACAAAACCATCGCAGCTCACTGGGCGCCGCTGTCGGCCCTACTACATGTTGTCCGTGGCAGCGCAGGCACGTTCCCGGGTGGGGAGGGTGAATGGGGAGCAGGTGGAGGAGGGGTCACCTCCTGGTGAGATGTGACTCTGGGTGGTTGGTGGCGTGAGTTGGCCAGCCGGTCATGGCTCACCTCAGTGGGCCATGCCAGGCCACCAAGGCCTGCTGGAGAATCTGCAAGACAAAAGGCAAGGGGGCTTTTATTCCTTTTTAGGGAAGCGGATTGGATGCTAGCACTGTTGTCACCGCTCACCTGTTCCTGCTTCCTCTGACATAAGAAGGCCAGACAGGAGCCAGCAGGCTCACGGGGGGTGTCTGGGGCCAAGCTGGTCCTGCCCGTGTGTGTCAGGTTCTCCTGGAGTAAGAGCTTTGTGACATGACTGCCTCTGGCTGACCGTCTGGACCCTATGACCGAATTGCCTGGAGCCTGGCCCAGCAGAGGAGCAGAGCTCTGTGGCCGTCGGGTAGGCAGGTCGGGATCCTAGAGTGCCTGGGCCTGCCACCGGTCTCGCCAGGAGCCTGAGGTGAGCCTGGGAGGGGCCTCAAACCGCAGCCGTCTGTCACTGAGTGTCCACCAGGTCAGAATGAAGAGGGAACAAACCACAGAGAAAAGCGACTAGAGAGTCCTGAGGCAGAGGGCAGCGTGGCTGGCCTGAGCCCCGAGACAAGGGCTCCCCCACAACCAGGCTCTCACTGGACCCCAGCCCGCAGCATCAGACCTTTTCACCCCCCGCTGACCCCTGGCGGAAATCCCCACTGACAAGGATCCAGGCACAGCCTGGACCTCACTACCACCCAGAATGGTCATAGCTACCCTTGACCTTGCATAGCTACCTTGATGGTCGCTGCAACTTTTGGAGAAGCTCCCTGGGGCTTTGAGGGTCTGGCCCAAGCTTCTCCCTTAAGCTCCCAAGATGCAGCTCCAGGGCCCAGCAGAGGCCCAGAGCTGTGGGGATGTGTCCACCCTGGTCCCCACCTGAGAGCAGGCCCCAGGGCCCCACCCAGGAGAGGCCGCCAGGTGCGCTCATTGTGCTGAAGGGAGAATCTATAAAGACAAGAGTGTTTACCCAGCCTCCGGGGACCACAGTGATCATGGGGCTTGTAGGAGCGAATCCAGAGTTTCCATCACCGGGTCGGCTGGGGCAGTCGTTCCCTGCTCACCGCCTCACCGACCCAGCCCAACTTCTGCCCTGGCTCCTTGGGGGGCGCGGGGCAGCGCCTGTCTGTGTTGCCATCCATCCTGGCTGGGAAGGGGGCACAGGTGGGCTTGTCCACCCTGAAGGGCACTGTCACACTGTGTCAGGACTCAGGCTTGGCTGAGCCCTGGCTGCGAGGACAGTTCTGGAGGAGAGATCTGGGAGGAGGAGAGGGCCTGTTGTGCCCATGCTAGGCTGCCCCATAAAGCAGAACTGGCCCAAGGCCCTCAGGCCGGCCAGAGCTCTGCGATGGGTCAGAGGTGAATGTGGCCTCGCTTTATAAAAGGCTTTCTGAGAGAAAGCCCCTAATCTGTTCTCCGGTGTGTCCCGTCCCCAACACTGGCTAATTGCGGTTGTTATTTGCCATTAGCTGGGACAGGACTGGTGGGGGGGAGGGGCGGAGCGGGTCTCCCTGTGCAGCTGCCCTGTGTCCTCCTCATTCCTGCTGTGGCCCCAAAACCCTTCTGGGCAAGTTCCCTCCCCAGCCCGACCTGCAGCGACAGTGAATGGCCAGGCCTGATCTTTCTGCCTCTCTGGGCTGGTCATAGGAGTGTTTTTTGGTCCCCATCAGGCCTCACTGGGTTTAGATGGCCCAGGGGGCAAACAGGCAGCGGTGGCCACCATGACAGTATTCTAAGACGCGGCAGATCCGAGCATCCCAGCCCTTGCGGCGCTCCATGCTAGCCCTCCGCAGCTGCCCCGAGCCCCCGCCCAGAGCTCTCCCCTGCCCCGCTTTAGTCGGGCCTCCAGCTGCTGCCCCCTGCACTGCCCCCACCTGCAGTCCCTGCGTGTGCGCCCAGGAGCTGCTGACGCAGTTGACACTAAAGGGATTGCTACCAATGGAGCTGATTTCTAAAGCTCTGTGGTTAATTATTCTGTCTCAGCTAAATGAAAGGAGGGTAAACAAACAACAACACATTAATTAGTCTGATCTACACTTTCTCCATGAAAGAGGAGAGCAAGAGAGAAATATTGGAGGCTGGCAACTTCCCAGTGAACCCCGGAGTCCTCGCAGGGCAGGATGCAGGCACACAGGCACCCAGCCTGTGTTCCCTGTCTGGGCCCTTCCCCTTGCTTATGTCCCTGGCTGGGTGGGCCATTGTGGATGGCCAAGGCCAGGCTCTGTCTCCAGTGAAGAGCGCCTTCCTCTCCTCTGTACTTTGGTTCTCTGCTTCCCTGTCCTGGGGGCTGGCGCCTTTGTCAAGCAAAGTCCACCCCGGGCGTCGGGATGGGCTGACAGTTCCCTCGAAGGCCTTGTGTGCTGAGCTGTCACAGCCCACGCTCACAGGCTGGGTTGCTCTTTCAGGTTCCTATTTAAAAGCTGACAATTACCCTGGTTTTATCCCTTTCCAATTCTGGTGTGTGGTTTCCAGGGTTGCTCAGGAGTCCCAGGTGCCCTCAGCTCCTTGTGGTCACTCCTGAGCCTTGGGGTCAGTGAGGGGAGGCTACACACTGTCCCAAAGGACGGCAACCTCTCTGTCCTGCATGTGGCGACCCGGACTCACCCCCTCACCCTGCCCCATTGCTCCACGCTCAGCTTGGGCTCTGGGCTCAGGCCAACCTCAGTGAAATCCTGGCCCTGGAGTCAGGCTTGCCGGGCCCCTGTCTCCTCGTCTGTAACGTGGGGGTGGTGACCCCCACCCCCCAGGCTGTCATGCCATGATGAGGATGAAAGCTGCACAAGCCACTGAGATGGCCGGCCCTGCCCCCTTCCCTGCCTCCCCACCGCCTCTCCTCCCCTGAGGCTGGCCTGTGCGCACCCGGTTTGCTCTCCCGGCCTGTGGGTTTGGTGGAGTTTGAGGCGGTACAAGCTGCTCTGCGCACTGCTCTGGGGGCAGCCTGAGCCTGCCTGCCAAACGTCCAGGCCCCTGACTTACCCGAAAGGCCTTCAGGTCACCAGGGACGCTGTCCACTCTGTTTACATTGGAGCCCCTTCACTAACTTGTTCTTCTCCGTGCCCTGAGGCTAATTTGGCCTGATCGTGACAAGGAGACTGGGCCATGGAGCCAGGACGGACAGAGGGAGCGGAGAGCGCCATAGTTTGCAGGTTGACCCAGGTGGATGGGGAACTGGCCCACAGAGGTTTGGGGGCCCAGATGACCCTAAATCTAGAAGGGACTGGGAGAGTGCTTGAGAGTGTTGCCCCAGGAGGCGACAGGCCCAGTCATTCCAGGGCAGATATGGGGCACTGGCCGAAGCAGCTTCACCCTGCAGTGCTCCTGTGGGTAACGGATGACCTGCAGTGACCTGTCAACACTGAGACACCTTGTTGCTAACCTGTGGCCTGCAGCCACCACAGCATGGGAAGAGAAGGGGGGTAGGGGGAAGGGGGTCTTGGGCTGCTCAGAGGCCAAAGCCCCCACCCCCAAGGGCTCCTGGGCCAGCCGCTCTGCCACCACCCCCTGGGGAGGGCATCCTCAGGAAGGGGACCTGGCCGTGTCTGATCCTGTTGGGGTGTTGAAGATGGAGGGTCAGGTGGGTCCCCAACAGCTTTTGTGGGCAAGCTGCAGTGAGCAGGACCTCTACCACTGTACGCCAAATGACATGGACACCAGGACAGCCATTCCACCTCCCATCCCCCTGGGAAATGGTCCTGGCATGTGTGCTATACCTAAGGCCTGCTGCACAGAGGCTCAAAGGGCCCTAGGTGGGTGCTGACTTTGCATTTGAGTTTCTCCTGCAGTGGGAAATTGAGCGAACCCTTAGTTCTGTGGGCCGAGGCAAGCCCTGCCCACTCCGAGGAAGCCTGCCTCATCTTTCGGGATCTCTGAGCCTTGGGAAACTAACTTCTGGGAAGGTACTGAGGGTCAGGAGTTTCCCCATGTGAGGCTAGGATGGGACCTGTCACTTCTTCAAGGCCCTTTCTTCTGGTCCTCATGTTCGCTGAGCCTTTATCTAGCAGCAGGGCTGGGGGTCTGGGAGCAGAGGGACCTCCTGTCATCCTCTTTGTGTCACAAGTCCTGTCTAGCAGGAGCTGGGCCAAGCCCCAGGTTTCCGCAGGAAAGGCTGCTGAGGGTTGCTCCGATCCAATTACTGGAAGGTGCTCACATCAGCTGGCTGCCCCGAGATGGACCCGCCCACTTCTTCCTGGATGCTTGCCAGGGAGGGGTTGGCATGGCAACAGGAGCTCTGAACTGCTGAAACGTGAAGCCAACTCGTAGCTGGGAGGACAGAAAGAAGGACTGGAGAGACTGCCTTTCTGAGTGATGCAGGTCAGGCAGATCCAGGCAAGTCCCTAAAAGCCACATCCCCGAAGCAGAACTGGGGTCTGAGGTCTGACACGACGCGCACCCTGTGGCTGTGGCAACTCCCACCAACACAGCTGCACCAGGTAGATGCCTATCACCCTTCTAGATCCAAAGCACCTGCCTTCCCTTCCTTGAAGCCCTCCCCAGGCTCCCTACCCCTCTTAGGCACAGTCCCCAGCTGCCCCTCTAAGCAGGCATGTTTCTGTTTGCACATCAGGCCATCCCCCGCGGCCCCCCACCCCAGCCTGGGAGCTCCCGGTGGAGACTAGGGCACCCACACAGGCCCAAGTCCTAGCCTGCTCCACGCCTGGCTGTGACAGCCCCGCCTTTGTCAGCACCACTCCAACCCACGGGACGGGCAGCGAGCTACACCAGGTCAGTGAGCACCAGAGCCCCCTGACCCCGAGCTGAATGGTTGCATGGCCCCTGCTCTCTCTGGAGTTTACTGGACCCCTCAGCAAAGAGGACTGCATTTTCTCTGTGACGAAAGCACTAAGAACCTGAAGTTCTTGAGCCTT